ACACGGGAATCACTGGCACGGATCTTGATCTCCAGGTAGGCACTCACCAGTACGAGTTCCTGTTTGCCCAGATATTTTAATCTGGCAAGACAGTCCTCCCGGTTCAGAAAAGCCTGAACATCGTCCAGATCGTCTATGGTCGCTTTTTCCGCCATCGTCACTTGGTACACTAGCACTTAACACACTGCTTTCACGTTAGCACTTAACGCACCGAGCACTGTTCTACGTCAATATTGCACTTTATCGCACCGAGCACTGTTCTACGTCAATATTGCACTTTATCGCACCAAACACTGCACTTGCCAATATTGCACGTAATTACACCGGGCACCGCACTACACAATATTGCACTTAATCACAGCGAGCACCGCACTCTACAATATTGCACTTAATCACAGCGAGCACCGCACTACACAATATTGCACGGAATCACTCTGAGCACCGCACAGGACGTATAACGTCCTAATAGTCACACACAGGGGGAATTATTTACAGGGATTGTGCCACTTCACCACCCGTCAAACATACTTGACAAGGGGTCGGATCCCGCTGGGGATGCCAATTATGTTACGGCCCTCTCGGGTCACAACCGGGTTCTTTTACTGATGTAAGTAGAGTTTGGGTATCCGGCCCCAAGCTAGTAGTGGCTTTCAAGGGGTGGGCTCCGTAACGCAAGTAAATTAAAGGGGAAGGGAGACAAAGGCAAAAACTTAATAATATAATTGTCACCATCACCATAAATAATATATATCTTATCACACGGGGGAGGTATTAACACTATTATATACAAGGTGGTCTTCCTCTGAAGACGCGGAGTGTTCCACGGTGCTTGACGATGCTAAGCTCTTGGTCCTCTTGTGGCCTCACGACGAATCCTTCGATTCTCTTGAGTCTACCCTGGCCACAGGCCAGCCAAATCACAGTTCCACTGGGGGCACTGTCGTGGAGGCCTTCAACCACAAATCCAGCCTGTAGCTGGCAGGTTCCAATCAGCAACGCTGGTTAGGCCACTCCACGACCGATACTAGGGTAGCGAGCCCTAGTCAGGAGCCTCGTGTGATCCCACAGGTCACTCTCCTCACCACAACACCCCAGTGGTTAAGCATCTCCTCCAGTTAGTCCCGGGTACTACAATCCCTCAGCTGCCACGTCACAGGCAGGCTAACACCGCAGTGTTCATCCGGGGGGTGACTCACAGCTGCTGCAGCAAATACTTGGAGACAAGACGGCTGCCTTGGGTAGACTGATCCAACTTCCATTACAGCAGTCCCAGGTCGACTCTGTAATCAGACACGTCATCAGTAATAGGGACACTCTAGAGCACCTCACTTACAGGCTTAGACACAAACGCCCACCCATCCACTCCATAGATGGCGTTGCTGTCTAAGCGTCACCTCACCAGAGGTCAGCAGCGGCTGTGTTATGAGCTGATCAGGACGGGAAACTAGCCCTTGTGGCCAATATATCTCGTCCTCACTAGGTGGCGTCGTCCATTTGGAGGGGGTTTCGGGAGCTGACCCACAGATGGCGCGGTCGTCACTGCTCCGTGCTCGGACGCTGGGCTCGGGTCCGTAACAGAGCACTACTCTTTTTCTGGTTGCCCTCAATGGTCTTCTTTCCTCTCATCTGGTGTCTTCTCCGCTCTCTATGTCGATGATCTTACCCTTTGCTGTCAGGGTGATGATTCGCCTCTCCTTCAGCGCCGGCTTCAACTTGCGATTGATGCCGTGTCGTCTTGGGCCACCGATCATGGCTTCAAGTTCTCTACTACTAAGACTTGTGCCATGACTTTTACTCGGAAACAGGTCGTTCTGCGTCCCTCTTTGTTACTTTATGGTCATCCCCTTGAGTACAAAGATTTCGTGAAGCTTTTGGGGTTATTCTTTGATACTCGTTTGTCTTGGTCTTCCCATATCTCTTACCTCCGTGTTGAGTGCTCTAAGGCTCTTGCCCTCCTTCGGGTATTGTCCCATACTTCTTGGGGGGCAGATAGGCGCACTCTCCTTGCTTTACATTCCTCTATCGTCCTGTCTAAGCTCGATTATGGTTGCCCTGCTTACTCGTCTGCTTCTCCTTCTACTCTTCGCCGTCTTGATGCTTTGCACCATACTGGGTTGCGCCTCAGTTCTGGTGCCTTTCGTTCGACTCCCGTCCTCAGCTTGTATGTTAACACTGGCTTCCTGTCTCTCCAAGACCGCCGTGATCGCTACTGTCTTCGCTATCTTGCGCGGTCGTTGCGACATCCTTCCTCTCGCCTCTGTCGTGTTTTAACTTTTACCCCTCCAGCGGTTCCTGTTCCTCTTCACCACCTCCCTCTTTCTGTCCGGTTATCTCACAGGATTCCCTTTCCGTTCGTATTTCTAATATTTCTAGTGTTGTTCCTTCTTTGCCCCCGTGGAGGGTCCCCCTTCCGCAGTTTTGTACATCCTTGACCTGCATCACTAAAGCTTTTACCCCTCCTACGGTTCTAAAACGCTTTTTCCTCGAGCACTTTTCCTCTCACTCCCACTCCGTTTCCGTCTTTACCAATGGGTCTAAGTCTGCGGACGGTGTTGGCTACTCTTTGTTTTTCCTGACAGCACTTATATGTGTCGCTTACCTCCGGAAACTAGCATCTTCACAGCGGAGCTTTATGCTATTCTCTATGCTCTTCGTCTCCTGCTCTCTCGTTGTCAATCTTCCTTTGTAGTTGTTGTTGACTCTCGTAGTGCCCTCATGGCTCTCGGGTCCTTTAATCCGGTTCATCCAGTGGTTGTCGAGATCCAGCATTGGCTGTTTCTTGTTCACAGTAAATGTAAGTCGGTTGAGTTTTGTTGGGTTCCCAGCCATATTGGTCTCTCTTTAAATGAGCGTGCGGATGCTGCCGCCAGGCAAGCTGTCCGCTCTTGTCCCATCTCTCATAAAGGTATTCCTTATTCCGACTTTTACCCAGTTATCCATTCCTCCGTCCTTACCCATTGGCAGGCTTGTTGGTAGTCTGTTACTGGTAACAAACTACGTTCTCTTAAAAGTTGTGTGTCCTCGTGGCCGTCCTCCTACCACTGTAATCGGCGATGGGAAATGGCCCTGGCGAGGTTGCGTATTGGGTATACTCACTTAACTCATGGTCACTTGATGGAGCGCCGCCCTACTCCTTATTGTCCTAATTGCATTGTCCCTCTTACGGTCGTGCATATCCATGTTGAATGTCCTGACTTCTGGGACGAGCCTGTCTTGTTTTCTGACCGTCCCCCGCGGTCGCTTGTCCCTCGATAGTATTCTTGGTGACTCGGATACTTTTGATATCGTTCGCCTTATGCGTTTGTTCTCGTATTGTCATCCTTGGTGATATTTAGCGCCCTCTGATTATCCCGCACATTTGATGGTGCTACACAGCCTTCCCGGTTTGGTGCCTTATTTTGATAATTACTTACTTGCTCTCGGGGAGAGGAGGGCTACGCAGACGAGCGGCGCGGCAGTGGAGTGTGATATTTGCTTGTTTTGTTGGGATTGGGGAGAGTTCTACCTCTCCTTTCCGTTTTTAGTTGAAATTTTCTTACCAGGTGGGGTTTGTTTTGTTATGTCTACCTTCTGGGTGCCTAACTCTAGTTGATGGCAGATAAAATAAACCCCCAACCACAGGAGGGTTTTCCAGGGCCATTGCTCCCTGTAACCTCTCTGAAGGGGCCAGATTCTGACTCGTGGTTCCCGGTAGGTCGAACTCCTTAGACTAATGCCCCGGTCTAACATATCACACATTAGCTCGATAGTTCCAGGAAACCGAAAGGGCTCCCACAAAAAATTATTACTACATTTCACCATACACCTATTTTAAAGCTTAGTTTCCCTATTACTATGCTCTTGCAACACCTGAGATGTGTCTAAACTTTGTTATAATAACATATTCTATCCTCTGGAAAATATTGTAATTATCTGTGATGATAGTTATAATGTATTAGACATGTCAATTTATAGGCTTTACAAAAGAAAATCTTACCAATAGCATACATTTTATTGTACAAAACTTGGATGATACTTAAAATACAAATGCTTATTTAAAAATATATAAACTGTAGAAACTGGTTTACAGATGTATGTGTCGTTATCTGGATGTAATGTCGAGATACATGTAACCATTTTGTTAGAAAACAATACGTGCAATAAAGTTTTTTTAACTATCCAGTAAAATAAATATTAAACCAGTTACTTCAATAAGTATTCAGAACCTGAAAACTTGTCTTAAAAACTGCACCAAAGGCACCAGTTGAGATGGTTTATGACTGGTCATACAATCTTTTAATATCAAATCAACTACAATGCAAAATTACATATTAAATCATATATACTGTACTCTATACACACACACATATTATATATATATTATATATATATATATGTCGTACCTAGTAGCCAGAACGCACTTCTCAGCCTACTATGCAAGGCCCGATTTGCCTAATAAGCCAAGTTTTCATGAATTAATTGTTTTTCGACTACCTAACCTACCTAACCTAACCTAACATTTTCGGCTACCTAACCTATAAAGATAGGTTAGGTTAGGTAGGGTTGGTTAGGTTCGGTCATATATCTACATTAATTTTAATTCCAATAAAATAAAATTGACTTCATACATAATGAAATGGGTAGCTTTATCATTTCATAAGAAAAAAATTAGAGAAAATATATTAATTCAGGAAAACTTGGCTTATTAGGCAAATCGGGCCTTGCATAGTAGGCTGAGAAGTGCGTTCTGGCTACTAGGTACAACATATATATATATATAATATGTGTGTGTGTATAGAGTACAGTATATATGATTTATATATATATATATATATATATATATATATATATATATATATATATATATATATATATATATATATATATATATATATATATATATATATATATGATTAAATTTTGAATTAATCTAGGAGATTGCACGTAAATTTGTTTCAATTAAGCCAGAATGAACACGTTATAAGTAGGCAGCCAACGTTCGTAGGCTTGGACGGACTATTTACCATAAGTTGTACAGGGGTATACTTGGACGGATTATTAATGTAAAGTTGTGCACTTGTACCAGTGTTGTTGTGCCTACAGGGCCACATGACCACCCAAACACTACCTGAATATGTATGCAGAGCAATGAATTAAACTACATGTTAGAATAACTATACATACCATAAAGATGTAGTTAAAACACATCATCCCAAGAATATGATGTATTTATAAGAGAATATTAACACTTTGCCTGACCAATAATGCATAATGCTTCCGTATATGAATATACTGTGTATGTGAGGACGCACGCTGTGTCCAAAATTAAAATATTTGTTAAAAATCCATTCATTATGGGACTTGTTTTAAGAAGTGCACCAACGTCTTCCCATTTTCTGTGATGCCCCATGTAGCATCACGTCACCCGCACGGTAGGCCCATTGTTAGTGTTCACACTCGTGACCGATGCAGCCTCCCTTCGTGTAAAAACGTGTGCCCATTCCGGTTATTTTTCCTCAGCTATATTTGTTAGTACAAACACACTACATTTACTCCAAGATGGATAGTGATCAAGAACAGAGTCAATCTATGACGAAAGCAGGAAAAGAAACACGTCTGAAGAAAACTTATTGCTCCAGTTTCACAAAGAAATAATTTGGTCACTGTTGAACTTTGAGTATAAGAATTGGCCTCTCCAAAATGACATCATCATACATGCCGGTTATATAAATGACAATGAGAGCAGAGCTACTGGTGACAATGTTGCAGCCCCCGGACCATCAGGTGTGAGGCGGCCACTCTTCCCTTCTTCACCTTGAAATGAAGATTCATCATCTGACTCAGAAGACGAGGTTCAGACAACTCATAGTGGTGATGCTGCTAGAAGACCTCGTATCGTGGATAAACCCGATCGTCGGAACAGAAACTTAAACCATTTCCTAGTACGCATCAAAAAAGTTCTGAAGTGTGGTGTCTGCTACAAGTCTGGTAAAAGGAAGAACAGCAGGTATAAGTGCCAGTCGTGTGGTGTGGCACTGTGTGCTGCACCATGCTCCGGCTTGTACCATTGCAAGAAGACATACTGGGTGGATAAGCAGTAATGCTTACACACTATCCACTCCATCTATAAAACATGGGTTGAGAAACTTCAGGAATGATATTGTGGTACAAACACTTAAGTGAAGGAAGCAGAACAAATGAATGAAATAGTGTAACAAATAATCTGGGGGAACTAATAATGAGTATAAATACTGATGAAAAAGCCGTTTTTTTCACATGACAATGTACTTTATTCTTATGGTATTGGTAATGTTCTCCCATTTATATGCATATATCCCTTTAGAGCTTTCTATTGCAACAAATTGATACCAAAATGAGCGACGTAACAAAAATTTATGTGAGAAAATGAAAAAGCGTACTGTATAAATATTTGAGTGTGGGCGTTGGGGGTGTGCAGAAGGGTGCTGGCTCTCCAGTACCGCTCGGCCGATTTTCGGGTTTGATGCGAGTGGCACGCCGGGCCTTTTGACCTTATATGCATATATCCCTTTAGATAATTCTTTTGCAAACAATTTGATACCAAAATAAACGACGTAGCACGAAAATTGAGGTCGGAAAACTGATGAGTATAAACATTTTAGTGCGGGTGTGCACTCATGGGAAACGCTCAGCCAACCTTGGGGTGTGCTGGGAGGGGTCGCGCTCCGGGCCAGGCAAAGTGTCAAGGCTGTAAGATGGGATTGAATTCACATCCCTGAACTCCTCCACTCAGTGGTGTGTGTCACTGGAGAGTCCAGGGAAGTGTGTTCAATCCCATTATATCGCCCAATTATTTCCTCACTGATATCAATACAATTTAAAATAAAAAACATAAAATCACAAATAATTATCAACCAATAAATTTTTATAGCTACAGTGAAAACTACAACAATACAGCTCCTGTAGTTCTAAGGTGCCATGATCATACACAATAGTGTGTTTTGGCACACATCAATACGTATTATAAGAAAACTAAAACCCCTTTATCCTTCTGATAAAAAAGTTTTTACAGAGACACACACATTGAATGTTAAGTGATTCACAACCTATTTACACTCTTTAGTATCAGTAGAGCTCAGTACTGTACATTAGTTTGTAAATATATTGCATACTTTTTTACAACTGTTATTCTATTGTTTTTGTTTACATTTGTTAATCTATTGTTTACATTTTTACATGTCAATTCATTATTTACTTTTTCATACCTGTCATTCAATTGTTTACTCTCTTACTCAAATCAATCAATTGTTTACTCTTTTACACCTGCCAATCCATGTTTTTTTTTACACCTATCAAGTATTTGTTTACCTTCTAACACATGCTAGTCCATTGTTTACTTTTCACACTTGCTGAATAATCTATTGTTTAGCTTTAACAGCTGCTGCTGGAGCATGACTACCTTACACCTCACAGTGTATACAACTGCTGTTGCTGCTGCTGGAGCATGACTAACACCTCACAGTATATATAGCTGCTGCTGCTGCTGCTGGAGCATGACTACCTAACACCTCACAGTATATATAGCTGCTGTTGCTGCTGCTGGAGCATGACTACCTAACACCTCACAGTATATATAGCTGCTGCTGCTGCTGGAGCATGACTACCTAACACCTCACAGTATATATAGCTGCTGCTGCTGCTGGAGCATGACTACCTAACACCTCACAGTACATATAGCTGCTGCTGCTGGAGCATGACTACCTAACACCTCACAGTACATATAGCTGCTGCTGCTGGAGCATGACTACCTAACACCTCACAGTATATATAGCTGCTGCTGCTGCTGGAGCATGACTACCTAACACCTCACAGTATATATAGCTGCTGCTGCTGCTGCTGCTGGAGCATGACTACCTAACACCTCACAGTATATATAGCTGCTGCTGCTGCTGCTGCTGGAGCATGACTACCTAACACCTCACAGTATATATAGCTGCTGCTGCTGCTGCTGCTGCTGCTGCTGGAGCATGACTACCTAACACCTCACAGTACATATAGCTGCTGCTGGAGCATGACTACCTAACACCTGAGAGTATATACATCTCAAAATATGATACATATACTAAATAGAGAAAAATTATCTGTGTTTTAAACTTGTATAGTTGCCCATATTTCAATTTTTTGTAATCAAAACTGTGTGTGAATATACCTATACCTATCACAACATATTCAGCTTGCAGGATTTTTATAACAATTCAAAATTAAATTCTTCACCTGGTAATTTGCATAAATGCAAATTAATAATTCTTTTATACAAACAAAAACTGATAATGTTATTTGATGCGTCCATGACACAGCCCATCCTCCTATTGTGGTAGTACTTATATTAACCATGACCACCATAGTGTTGTGGTAGTACTTATAGTAACCATGACTACCATAGTATTGTGGTAGTACTTATAGTAACCATGACTACCATAGTATTGTGGTAGTACTTATAGTAACCATGACTACCATAGTGTTGTGGTAGTACTTATAGTAACCATGACAGCCCATCCTCCTATTGTGGTAGTACTTATAGTAACCATGACCACCATAGTATTGTGGCAGTACTTATAGTAACCATGACCACCATAGTATTGTGGTAGTACTTATAGTAACCATGACTACCATAGTATTGTGGTAGTACTTATAGTAACCATGACTACCATAGTATTGTGGTAGTACTTATAGTAACCATGACCACCATAGTATTGTGGTAGTACTTATAGTAACCATGACCACCATAGTATTGTGGTAGTACTTATAGTAACCATGACTACCATAGTATTGTGGTAGTACTTATAGTAACCATGACCACCATAGTATTGTGGTAGTACTTATAGTAACCATGACCACCATAGTATTGTGGTAGTACTTATAGTAACCATGACTACCATAGTATTGTGGTAGCACTTATAGTAACCATGACCACCATAGTATTGTGGTAGTACTTATAGTAACCATGACTACCATAGTATTGTGGTAGTACTTATAGTAACCATGACTACCATAGTATTGTGTTAGTACTTATAGTAACCATGACCACCATAGTATATATAGTACTTATAGTAACCATGACTACCATAGTATATATAGTACTTATAGTAACCATGACTACCATAGTATATATAGTACTTATAGTAACCATGACCACCATAGTATTGTGGTAGTACTTATAGTAACCATGACTACCATAGTATTGTGGTAGCACTTATAGTAACCATGACCACCATAGTATTGTGGTAGTACTTATAGTAACCATGACTACCATAGTATATATAGTACTTATAGTAACCATGACTACCATAGTATATATAGTACTTATAGTAACCATGACCACCATAGTATATATAGTACTTATAGTAACCATGACTACCATAGTATATATAGTACTTATAGTAACCATGACCACCATAGTATATATAGTACTTATAGTAACCATGACTACCATAGTATATATAGTACTTATAGTAACCATGACTACCATAGTATATATAGTACTTATAGTAACCATGACTACCATAGTATATATAGTACTTATAGTAACCATGACCACCATAGTATATATAGTACTTATAGTAACCATGACTACCATAGTATATATAGTACTTATAGTAACCATGACCACCATAGTATATATAGTACTTATAGTAACCATGACCACCATAGTATATATAGTACTTATAGTAACCATGACCACCATAGTATATATAGTACTTATAGTAACCATGACCACCATAGTATATATAGTACTTATAGTAACCATGACCACCATAGTATATATAGTACTTATAGTAACCATGACTACCATAGTATATATAGTACTTATAGTAACCATGACTACCATAGTATATATAGTACTTATAGTAACCATGACCACCATAGTATATATACCCACCTACAATGCAATTAGAAAGTAGAAATGGGCACTATTGACTTGGACAAACCAGAACACTCATTTTCTAGTAATTTTGCACAATATTTTTGCACACAATACCTGAGGCCTAATATAGTATGTGTGTGCTATACTAGGCCTAGGAACATTTGTGTTTTAGCTTCATTTATTTTAAAAGAATTCCTTATTAGTCAGTATGTACAGTATACTACTATCTAAAAGCTAAGTATGTATGAATTCGTGACTGTTGACGACTGTCACAATAGGTACTGTCTAAACAAGAGGATGTGTCCATGACAATGTTGCCAGCCATTGTCAATGTGCCTGATGCTGTTACCAAAGGTTCCATCAACTAAATACACCACCATAATGAAATCTTCCAAGTAACAGCTGACATTAAAGACCAGTCTGTCCAATGTTTTGATATCCGGCAAATTTAAAGTGGTTTTGCCTATCCCAAAACATTTACACCTAGGCAAAAGTTCTTTCACTTTCACTAAAGCACCATAATTTTAATGCTGTGATCAACAGTGTTAAAACGGAGAGCATTAAACAAAAAAAGTGGGAAACAATAACGTCCTTTTTTTATGCCATGTTTTAACGTCTTTTTTTTTTTGCCATGTTTAATAATAAACACATTTCCTTATCCAGTTTTTCATAAAACATGTGACCTTAGATGAAATATTACACATAAAATATGCTAGCACAGTATCTAGCTAATTGCATACACGAATATGCATCTCAGATTTACAAACATGCCAATTCATTTTCATGTGGTTGAAATTCAATTATACTGAAGTGAAATTCAAAATATACATTTTACTAGTCAAACTTATCCCAAGTTTGATGGCTATAAAACTTCATATCAAACCACATTACTACTTGATCGTCCAATATTTGCCATCACATTACACATTACAAAAGGACACAAGACAAGCAGTGTCAAACATTTTGCATTTTTCTGCAAGGACAAGAGACTTCAAGGAACAGTGGCAAAAATGTCTACTGCTAATACTTATGCTATTTGAGCAGTATTTAATTTAAATACCTTGTGGTGGCATCCTGTGGTGTCATTCCATAGCATTTATAAATACTGTACATTACATTCATCATATTTAGCACAGCGAGTTTGATCTCTCTCCCGTTCCTTACTTTTTAATAAATGGAAGTTCATGGATATTGCCGCGAATAAGTCACAATAATGTGGCTTAAACAAATAGTGCATTATTAAACCCACAAGCACAAAATGACAAAAATGTGATGACTTGATAAGGGTACAGGATAGACTGAAACATTATCACTTTCACTGTATGCATGTGGGGTTGATTATTTCCTGGTCAATACATGTATGTAGCTTGATTATCCAATCTCACATTATCAGTACTTACTCATGTGTCGTCTGAGTCACACATTACCGTATTTGCCGGTGTAAATAACGCACCCTTGCACAGGATGCACCCCTATTTTACAAGGATATTTTTGTGGAAAAAATATTTTAGATTGTTTCATCATACATGTATTGAAAGATATTTTCAAGTGGATTTTGTACCCCCCAATTCTTACCTCCTCTAAGATAAGCTGTATAGTTGTTTATATTTTGAGCAAGAGAATTGTTAAACAGGATGTGAAACTTGTATTTCTCAATGTGATGTTTTGTGTTGCTGCATCAGGCCACCAGGTGGTGATGCACCACCAGGTGGTGATGCACCACCAGGGTCTGATGCACCACCAGGGCCTGATGCACCACCAGGGTCTGATGCACCACCAGGGCCTGATGCACCACCAGGGCCTGATGCACCACCAGGGCCTGATGCACCACCAGGGCCTGATGCACCACCAGGGCCTGATGCACCACCAGGGCCTGATGCACCACCAGGACCTGATGCACCACCAGGGCCTGATGCACCACCAGGGCCTGATGCACCACCAGGATCTGATGCACCACCAGGGCCTGATGCACCACCAGGGCCTGATGCACCACCAGGGCCTGATGCACCACCAGGGCCTGATGCACCACCAGGACCTGATGCACCACCAGGGCCTGATGCACCACCAGGGCCTGATGCACCACCAGGGTCTGATGCACCACCAGGGCCTGATGCACCACCAGGGCCTGATGCACCACCAGGGCCTGATGCACCACCAGGGCCTGATGCACCACCAGGGCCTGATGCACCACCAGGGCCTGATGCACCACCAGGGCCTGATGCACCACCAGGGTCTGATGCACCACCAGGGTCTGATGCACCACCAGGGCCTGATGCACCACCAGGGCCTGATGCACCACCAGGGCCTGATGCACCACCAGGGTCTGATGCACCACCAGGGCCTGATGCACCACCAGGGTCTGATGCACCACCAGGGTCTGATGCACCACCAGGGCCTGATGCACCACCAGGGTCTGATGCACCACCAGGGTCTGATGCACCACCAGGGCCTGATGCACCACCAGGGCCTGATGCACCACCAGGGCCTGATGCACCACCAGGGCCTGATGCACCACCAGGGCCTGATGCACCACCAGGGCCTGATGCACCACCAGGGCCTGATGCACCACCAGGGCCTGATGCACCACCGGGGTCTGATGCACCACCAGGGCCTGATGCACCACCAGGACCTGATGCACCACCAGGACCTGATGCACCACCAGGGTCTGATGCACCACCAGTGCCTGATGCACCACCAGGGCCTGATGCACCACCAGGGCCTGATGCACCACCAGGGCCTGATGCACCACCAGGACCTGATGCACCACCAGGACCTGATGCACCACCAGGGTCTGATGCACCACCAGGGCCTGATGCACCACCAGGGCCTGATGCACCACCAGGGCCTGATGCACCACCAGGGCCTGATGCACCACCAGGACCTGATGCACCACCAGGACCTGATGCACCACCAGGGCCTGATGCACCACCAGGGCCTGATGCACCACCAGGGTCTGATGCACCACCAGGGTCTGATGCACCACCAGGGCCTGATGCACCACCAGGGCCTGATGCACCACCAGGGCCTGATGCACCACCAGGGCCTGATGCACCACCAGGACCTGATGCACCACCAGGACCTGATGCACCACCAGGGTCTGATGCACCACCAGGACCTGATGCACCACCAGGGCCTGATGCACCACCAGGGTCTGATGCACCACCAAGTGCACCACCACCTGGTGGGTCACCATCACAGTGCTCTGGTTTTGTTGTCAATCACTCGTTGCAAATGGCTGACAGGCAGATGAAAGTTTATCATTCCTTTCAAATTTCTAGGAGCATTTTTCCTTTACATAATGAATATATGTTTCTTAAAGATAACACAGTCATTAAATAATGTATGACACATCAGGTGTGGGTTATGTATGCTGGGTAAGATGGCGAGATGATATGTGAGCTTTCTCATAACTGCTCACGTATTGTAAGCAATTTCTCATAAGTTTGTGATAACAGACTGATAACTCAGCTTGTTTTCAATATACAGGTATTATTATTAGTAATACAATTTACTGTAATAATCTGGCTTGTTTTCAATATTTTATTATTGGAAAAGATTTTTGTGCGTAGCAAACTTGCCAATGGTCCTCCAGCTCCCTAACCAACGGCGCTTCCTCTCCCATCCGTAATATGCCAATTTTAAGATACATTTCAAAATAAAAAAAAATCGTCTTATACGCCGACAAACACGGTAACTAGTTAAAAAAAGTTTTACCTCCTCACATTTTCAACATATTCATCAACATCTGATAATGCTGAAATTCTATGAAATTCCTCAGGAACAAAAAGTTCATTGTGATAACCAGTGTATATAAACCAAAATACCAGTATAACACCTTTAACGAAGCTATCACAGATATGGAAATACAGTACTTTGTTTGCTATCTGCCGAACGCTGAAGGAGCATCCATAATATACTAATGGCGACGGAATACAAGGGTGAAGACGGCAAGTGCCAGGATGACAAGGAAGCTGCCCTGGAGTCCTGCTGCTCCTGCTACTCGACACTTGAGGAAATCATACCTGAAGAACACAAGAGGCACTTTAGGTACCTTCACAATGATACACATACAATTTTAAATAAAGTATTACACACCAATAAAGGAATCTTCACAAAACATTCATTCCAAGACGGTTCATGTTGTGCTCTTACAATTTTCCTGAAAGTTGGTCTATATCTTTGTTTTTACTCAAAAACACAAAAATACAAATTCCAGATCAATCAGACTTAGTTCAAAAGTTACTGTCCTCCTATTTTTGGGCATCTGCAAGAACACCAAAGTTTCAAATACAGTGGAACCTCGGTTTTCGAATGCTACCGTTTTCAAATTGTTCGGTTCTCAAGCTCAATTTCTTCAAAACATTTGACTCTGTATTTGAGGTTTGCCTCGTTACTGGAGTTTGTTGATACACGTATAGACTGACCGAGTGTGTACCTTGAGGTTACCTTGAGGTGCTTCTGGGGCTAATCGTCCCCGCAGCCCGGTGTAACACGCTTCAGTTTACCAGTGTCTCCTGCCGAGTGATAACCGCGATTGAATTCCTTGTGAACAATTTCACTGTTTTTATGCTTTTTTTTTGTTTCAGTCTCAGTCAGTCAGTCAGTCAGTCTCAGTCAGTCAGTCAGTCTCAACCAGCCAGCCAGCCAGCCAAAATTAGTCAGGCAGCATGGCGGAGGCACAACCGGTGAGTGTTATCCCGAGACAAGGGGAGAGAGCAACCTTCAAGCTCGCACGAAGCGAGAGCGGACTCAAGGGTCACATCCATCGGACCATGGAGTCCCCGCGGGGTTTCCCAGGGCCCTTAGCCTTCTTAACACGCTAAGGGAAGCCCAGACAAGGTACTGCAAACCAGCTCCCAAGTCTACCAAACAAACTGCTAAGAGCTGAACGCCCGGGACGTGTCCACCCACAGGAGCCAAGTGGGGGATACCACCAAAAGCACAGCAGAGAATATATAGCCCCCACAATCCCCAGAAGGAACCACAAAGGCAGACCCCCCTTCCCCACCAGGCAGAAAACAAAAACAAAAGAAAACCCCCCACATGAGGACAACGTACCCAGGCGGAACAGAGCCGGCTGCTATAATTAGTGAAAACTAGCTGTGCAGTACCCCATGCCCCTACCCGTGACGAAAATTACCCCCAACCCAAGGACAAACAAAGGCAAGAAAACCCAAGCTGACCCCTAGGGCGGCCAAGTACCGAGCAGTAAAAGGCACAGCGGAGGCAGATCGCAAGGTGATTTGTGGAAGGTGGCCCCAAGCCCTAAGGGTAGTACTTACTGGGCACCTAGGGAAGGTAGCCCTAGGCACATGCAGCTCGAGTACTGTGGATTATTACTCCTGGCTCACACACCACCTGGAGAGACAGTCCATGTCACAAGACTCAGAATTGAGACAAAATATTCGGAGCCAGAGGCACAAGACTTTTTGATAATCGCATCAGCCAAGAACTGAAGGTTGGGTCGCCAGCATGAGGGTTTGGGGCTCCTCCTTCCCCCTCCCAGGGAGGGGGGGGGGGCGCGTAGACAGCGGCACAGCAATATGACGATGTCAGGCTCGTCTACTATTTTTCGTTTGGGGAGTTCTGTCCACTTGTTTGACTTTCGGTAGCAATAGTTCCACCAGAATAGGGGTTTGTTTTGGGACGCCTACCTTTCTGGATGTCAGACATAGAATGTTCCCAACCACATGGGGATTTCCATAGGCCATTGCTCCTCATGCCTCTCTGAGGGGGCCAGGTTCTGGCTCGTGGTCCTCGTGGTCTGGCTTCAAACTGAAGCGTGGGTGACTGTGCCACAAGCAATCACGCGTTCGGTCGCCCATACGAGTACTGTATCAACAAACTATGTAACTAGAGGCAAAGTTCGTAACTTGATTCAAATTTTATGATGAAATTGGGCTCGTAACCCAAAAAATTTGTAAAGAGGGACATTCGTAAGCCGAGGTGTCACTGTACAGTACTGTACTGTCATTTTTAAGGCTGCCCACTGTCAGCACTGACCACAGATTGTTATTATAAATTACTGTATACTGTTGAAACTTTGAGAGACCTACAAACCACTGGTCACTTACATGCTTATCCAATATTTGAACACTTTCCTTACCTGGTTTTCTTGTCACGGATAATATTAAGGAACTCGGCCTCAACCAGCTGACCGTCAAAATAGGTGATGGGGTCTTCAAATGGATATTCGTAACCTTGGATACACTCACATTTATAGCCGCCAGTGTCAAAGCCACGTCCTTGGATGGGCACACACTGTACAAACCCAAGAAAGTTATATTAACAATTGAGATGAATGGTTGCCTAACACATTTACATGCAGAATATAATTGTCACTTTTCTAAAGTTTCATGAACTCACTTTAAGCTTCAATGTTTTTCCAAGTGTTGTACATCACAACTGTTAATATATTTTATATATCTTATTATGTATCATCAATCTGAGCTTAATCTGAACAACAACAACAACTCGCCTATACGGATTTTAACTTGAAAATCTGCTAGTGAATGGACGACATCGTTTATGGGTTGATAATCAGACATGTTTTGCTCATAGCTGATAAGAAAGAAATCCCTGGACAGGTATATATATTTCAGGATAAGAAGTGTCACGTTATGAGTACAGGGTTACAATGAGTACGAGGTGCTGTAATACATCCAGTGAATATGAGTTTAGGTTAGCACACTCAATGAATACAAAAGTAGAGGAAAGGTGGTGATCTTGATGCACGAATATGATTCACACAAAACCTAATGTGTAAGAGGGAAGTGTATAAAACCCAGCATTGAATGTTATGAAACGCCTCCCTTTGGGTAAGCTCCGGTGGCTCCCTGATACCATCTGGCCGAGATGGCTTCCAACTACTGTACTGTACTAGGTCCCGGTGACCCGGGAGCCCCCCAGAAACAGGCACAAGCAGGACCGCAGCCGGAGGAGATACTCCAGAGGAAGAGACAAGGAAATGGTCTGAGAGTCCCAGCCACGCCCGAACCTGGGTGGGAACCAGATGGGACTTCCTCTAGTTCACTAAGAACCCGAACCCGGCAAGCTCGGAAAGAATCAAATCCCTGGCTAGCAGACAACAGGACCGGTTGGGAGCCCTAACCAGCCAGTCGTCGAGGTAGGCCAACACCTGAACACCTAAGAGAAGTAGACGGGGCCATGACGACCCGCGTAAGGCGTGTGAACACGTGAGGTGCCAGATTCAACCTGAACGGGAGACAACGAAAACAGTAACCTTAACGCCCCACCACAAAACTGAGTCAGTCCCTGAACCCCGGATGAATCAGAACGTGCCAATAAGCGGCCCAGAGGTCCAGGGACACCATCCAAGAACCCGACTCCAACAGGAGCCGAACCTGGGACAGCGTAAGTCATACGAAAGAAGGGGAAATAAACCCTGGGGTTCAGACAGGACAAGTCCAGAATGAACCACAGGTCTGCACAGTCCCGTATCGGCACTGGAAACAGACGGGGAAACCCACCTGATGGACGACATCGTTTCGACGTCGCCCAAGCGAACCCACTCCAAGACGACTCGACGGAGCAAAGGAGAAGAGCCCTGCCCCGCCAGCCCCGAACCCCTCGAAGGGGAAAGGGCCACCCAACCCCACTGCAGATCAAAGGAAACGACCAGAAACGCCCATAAATCGTGGGACCAGGCGTGAGCGAACAGCACAAGCCTCCCCCCATCACCCTGTCAATGGAGCGAACCATGAAAGGGCCGGCGCCCCTTACGAGACCCAGAACCATGCACAGGGCGAACACTGCGCCGATCAGAGGAAGGCGGGTACCATGGTGGGTCCGAAGGCGGGGTTTGAAGGCAGAGCCGAACCTGAATCTGGCACCTGCGGCCTACCACGATGAGAGGAACCCCGAGCCCTGGCACGACCCCTCCGGGAAGGCACCCCTACTCCCAGGGACCCCCGGAGAACCAACAAGTCAGACATAGGACGGCAACTGGCCGAAGCAGCCTGAATATACTGCGCCACAGCCGAAGATGCAAAAAGCAGCGGACAAAAAGGCAAAGACATACTAAGAGCCAGGGCCCAGGCTGATTCCAGAGTGGAGGCAAACACCGCCTGTCGACAAGCAAGCCGGGAAGCATAAAACAGGGAAACTGCATCCCGCAAGATCAGTGCACACAGCTTCAACAAGGCAGCCGATGAGCGAGCCGCTAAGCCCAAGGTGCCGGACCCAGGAATGGCCCAAAGCATCCCCACATCCACCTCGAGCCAGTCCAAAGACAGCTCCAGGAGGGAAAAGAAGTGCAAGGCCGAAGCCAAGAGGCCCCGGGCGGGTAAGTCCTCAGCAACCTGCGTAGCCAAAAGGGAGGGAACCTGCACATGGAGCTGCACGACGCCAACATCCCAGGGAAGGGCAGGGGCAAGCAAGCACTCATTGAGGTGCTCAAGGTCGCCCCCCCAGGAAAACCTGAACTACCGTCGACGCCTCACGCCACTCAAGTGTGCAGGAACGACAGAAGGAATGCCAAGCCTCCAAAGCAAACACAGGACAGTCCACCAGCCAGGACGACTCCGGAACCTCGTAACGGACCCAGAAAGGGAACGAAGGCCCAAGCCTGAAAGACGATGGATCCATCATCGAGGCATAATCCAGGTCACGCAGGAGGTTAGCCGCAAGGGCCGCCCGCAAAGCAGACGGTTCGAAGTGGGAAGCCGAAACCCTCCGGAAAGACGATACCGACGCACCCAAGAAAACACGGAACCGAACCCAAGGAAGGGCAGACACCAAATCCAACTCGTACGCAGAGTGGGGAAAAAGATAACCCCACTTCCTGTGAAAATAGGGAGAACCCCACTCCCTGTTTCTGCTCAGAGGACAGAAAAACCTAGGCAGGGTCCAGCGGGGTCCCCAAGTCAGCCCCTCCCCCACCCCAGGATCCTCTTCCACAGGACCCGGGGCAGAGTCATCTCCCAAAGCACCGGAATCTAAAGAAAAGGCCGGCGCAACCGAGTAAGCCAGATAGAAGGGGGCACACTGGTCAGACCCAAAGGCTTCGGCAGGAAGACCGGACTCGAATGCCTCCATCACTACACCGGCAGAGGCACCACTTAGCCCACCTTGAGGTGCGCGACGGGTCACCTACCGAGCCAGTGAAAGTGATGACTACACGTCATGGTAAAAACTATTCAAATAAAGATTCTACAAAATACTTAGCTCAGATGGTACTGGTATAAAGGCTTATGTAGGCATACAGCCTACAGTAAACTTCATTATGGCTGAATATTTGTCGTATTCAAGCCAATATATTCCATACTTACATAAGATGACTTCCTGTCACATCGATGACTATCCTTAAAAGCATTCTGGACGTAGAACTCATTTGGACATTGAACAATGTCCAACTTCATAAGGTCCATCGTCACCCTAACTGCACCCCTGAAAGTGACAGGAGTTGGTATATTGTTAGTAAAAAAATACACAAAAAAAACGAATATTGGATGGCAGGAGAATGCTCAGGACAAATGGGGCAAGAAACACGAGTCCCTAACCATACAAAGACCCATCCACCGATGAATGCAAAGCTGCATACGTGTCACAAAATCTTTAACAGTACAACATTTATCTTGACAATCATATTTAAGCTGCCCACATCATATATAATATGATATATGAAATAAATAGAATGCAGAAAATAAAGAAGTCACAATGACATGGCTGAAAACAAATAACCTGACCCACACACATGAAATGAACAGAAAGTGATGTTTTGGTCCATCCTGGACCCTTACCAAAGTTGTCATGTGATTTGATAAGGATCCAAGATGGATTGAAATGGCATCATGTTAATTTCCTGTATGGGTAGGGTTAATGGAAGAATTAAGAAAAGATATCATCATACAGAAAGAGGCTTACTTTAGCTCCAGCTTGGATCGTAGTGCATCCCAACCAAAGAACGGAGCTGCATAGTGAACAACCCATTTCTTCACAAAACCATTACAGTCAAATTCAGGGACACTCCACTGTCCGTGGTGCAGTTCAGCAGCCCTGAGGAAAGAAACCATATGCTATCACAAATAATTATCTTATAAATTTTGTATATATTATGGGATATTGTGTATTGATGCAGGCCAGAGCTACACTGGTGCAGGCTAAGTGTGAGCAGAGTAGAGTAGAACTTAGTAGAGTAGTAGAACCCTCGTTAAGGTAATTTTGTGGTAAGACCGGAAAGACACCTGTCAGTTGGCTGACAGCAGTGTCTATCAATACTCGTCTGAATTAATAGGCTGTCGGTGTGACAGTAATTAATTGGGAATTACTTACTGAATGCTTGACGTTTCAAGTGTGATGTAATTAAAGGGCATTCGAGTTATTGTTGCATTGTTGAGTGTCGTTGAAACACAATTGTGTTAACGTAAATTGAATTGTTGCTGAACGCTGTGGACGGTCGATAAACGTACAGTGTAATTGTTTTAAATTCAATTAGTGTAACTTTTATTATTGTTTGTGTCTTGAGAGAGACAAGTGCTAACGTAAGATTTTTATAGGGGATCATCAGTGTTAGATCACCCGCCTAGTTACTTGGTACCTTGCTGGGAAGAGCGGAGAGCTATTCAAGTTTTGTGATTATAGTATTTGTTCACTGTGAGGGCCGTGACATATATTGATTGCAAGCTTGTGTCACCAGTGGGCACCACTCTGTTCAGTTAGCGTTATTATTCAGTCAGCAATGATGGAAAGGATTCCATGGGTCCACCAGGCTGTTGAATAGCTGTTGCTAAATGTCCACTGGGGTAGACACTAAAGTAACTTAAACTCATTGTTGTGGTAGTTCTAAATTTTCGTTGAATAAATTGTTATTGTTCTAGAAACGGTCGTTTAGTCCAATCCCGCAACATTCTTGTCCTACTTTTCATGTTCTGCAACGCCTTGCATGCTTATGTGTAAATTCTGTCTGTTCCTAAAAGCTCGGGTCCGATTCATAGCACCACACTTCAAAATAATTCGAAGCGAGTCCCCGTCGGTTACCCTTCATTAGTAGTTATCACTAGAAGGAGCCAACGACCCAAGTCGACAGGCTTTTATCTGTGTGGTGGAAGCTTGGCGCTTTGCTCCCGCTTTTTCCTATGGTCTCATACTTTAAGTTAAATATCTGCTTGTAAGCAGTTCTTTCTGTTTGAGGTCTGCCTCCCGTGCGAGGTAATTACATTAACGTAACATCAATAGGAAAAAATTCCTTTGATCAAGTTAGTCAAAGAAAAAAATCTCCCATGCAGTTGGAATTTGATTATTACCTGTCAATAACTTCAAAAGTTCTACTCCCTCAGCCTGGCCTGTCTGTGGCCAGCCTTCCCTTGCAACAAAATGTTATTGAAGGCTTTATTTCTCATTAAATTACCATTTTTGTCTGAAAACAATTGTCATTGATCAACAACTGGTATGCTTGTCTGTTAACATCTGTGTGCAAGAGATTTAATCAAATTTACAAGAAAAAACATAGCAAATGTCAATAGGACATTTTCGCTTAGAAATGTTCCAGCACTATCTACAGAAAGAATCAGATGATAAATATGAGAAGATTCTTTTCAAATCCAAGAATACAAAAACAAAACTTACTTGTAGAAAGTCGGATAATGTTCGTATTTCATGGAGTGCATGCCGGTTGCATTGTTACGCAGCTTTAGCTTTATCCAGAACTTCTCTAGGTCGTCAAAATTGGTTGACCAACGACTTTTGATCTTCCTGAAAGATATTCAAAAGGAAAATATACATCATTCACTGACAAGTAACCTGGAGGTTTAGTTGTTCTATGGAAAACATTCAAAGTTCTCAACACATTTCAGATCATTGGAATTGTTTAACCATTAAGTTGCACATTGCATCATATGATGCTCTTGTAATGGGGGGTAGGGGGAAATAGCTCTATCTTGTCCATTATTCCACCCCCCAGTTAACTAACGAGGCCGGAGGAAACAGCTCTCTCTAGTCCGTTATCCCGTCCCCAGTTAGCTAACTATTCTAGAGCACTCCCAGAGTTCCTAAGGCAGCCTCTCTCGTTCAACACCTTGTAACCTAGGTATTTGACTACCTAGGTGCTAAGACTACAAGGCGCCGTAACTTGACCAGCTACCCGAAACTCTAGAGAGAACTCTAGAATACATTTCACTGCCACAAACGTATAAGAGAAAACGAAAGGAAAGAAATGAATAGTGAAGTAATTAGTGAGGGTTTGGGGTGAGAGGTAGAGAGGTGGGAGGAGCGAGGAGGGTCATTAGTTGAAAGTGAGAGTTTAGAGAGGGGTGGAGGGAGAGGTGTAGATAGGTAGAAGTAGAAGAGTAGATAGTAGAAGTAGAAGAGTAGATAGTAGAAGACGAAATGCTGCCACCATCCATTCATGATCATTACATACAAGACAAGGAATGGAACTTGTCTGTATCACAAAATTCCCAATAGATGTCATCAAGGTCATTATTAGTATGTCCCATTTTTATCATGTACTCAGTAAAATCCTGAAACCAGTAATCACAGAGGCTTTCTCACCTCAACTCAACTCTAGGGGACACAGTTAAAGGCAATGTAAATAATAAATTCAATTATATTTCACATACTAAGTATCATAATTTAAGCAATGTTCAAGATATATATATGTAAAGTGAGTCATCCTCCAAGAATCTGAGAACACTACAACTGACTGCCCCTGATCATCACACAACACTTGTAAAACACGACCAAGTCACCTTAATGTTCAACTCACCAAGTGTCTGCCTATAGCTGGATAGAGAGAGGGATGGGGTCTATAGTTGACAGAGACTGTCCCGCCCTGCCGGCCGACAGCCTCCCTGCTAGGCCGTCTTCTCTCCTCTGCTGGCTGCTGTTCTTCTGTCTCGTTAATGCTCTCAAATCGATAGCTCTCCGAGTATATATTGGGGAACCTAGTAGCTAACTCCGCCCACAAGTAGATAGCCTCCGGCTCTCTACCAAGCCACTCCTTAAACGTCGGCATGTTTGAAGGCTACCAGGCTCCAATTATAAGATTAGTAGAAGTAAGGTGAAATTCGCATGATCTGACCTCGGGTCACTTGGTGGTCATTAACTCTTAGAGGTGTGAAACTCCGGCCGACAACTTGGCGCCTTCTCAAATCCCTGGCTGTGACTCATGTACTCCATGTATGTATTAAATACAACTAAACCAAACACTTTTACAGCGTTACACTCTGACCGACTTGCAGTAAATTGCACATCACATCATATGATGCTTTGGAGTACTATCTCCACTCGATCATCCGGACTATATGGGAAGGACCCCCAGCCGGATTACTGTATCACATTTTTTGGATAATGGTACTTTTTCACCTACGAGTCCAAAAGTGACAATTTCCAACTACTTTTATACTACAAACAACATAATTTGAATTGCCTTGCCACATATAATTATTAAATATTCAACTAGAAACCTCAACTTACCTTGTTGGTGTTCGTCTTCTTGATTGATGCCACACATCTTCAAGTTAAGAATTCTTAACAATTTACGTAACCTATACTAACACAACACTAAAATTAACACTTAAAATTACTGTACAGTTCATTAAGCAAAGTTAGTTTTGACTGCCAGCTGCTAAAGCCTCACTGGTTGAAGGCATTTGGGTTGCCTGTGAAGCCTCACTTGTTGAAGGCGCTTGCTTGCGCCTCACTTGTTGAAGGCATTTGGGTTGCCTGTGAGGCTTCACTTGTTGAAGGCGCTTGGCTTGCCTGTGGCGCCTCACTTGTTGAAGGCGCTTGGCTTGCCTGTGGCGCCTCACTTGTTGAAGGCGCTTGGCTTGCCTGTGGCGCCTCACTTGTTGAAGGCGCTTGGCTTGCCTGTGAAGCCTCACTTGTTGAAGGCGCTTGGCTTGCCTGTGGCGCCTCACTTGTTGAAGGCGCTTGGCTTGCCTGTGGCGCCTCACTTGTTGAATGCATTTGGCTGCCTGTGGCGCCTCACTTGTTGAAGGCGCTTGGCTTGCCTGTGAAGCCTCACTTGTTGAAGGCGCTTGGCTTGCCTGTGGCGCCTCACTTGTTGAAGGTGCTTGGCTTGCCTGTGGCGCCTCACTTGTTGAAGGCATTTGGCTGCCTGTGGCGCCTCACTGGTTGAACAACACGTAACTTGTCTTTAATTGCTAGCACAACCTTCTTCCTCTTAACACCTCCAGAATTATTGATGCTCCTACCAGACAGTCTTGGCCAAAAATGTTTAAAGTTACTATGAAAATAAAAAAAGTTATTTAAAAAAATATTTCACTAATGGCGCACTGTGGTATAACATGAGGGACGGGAGCACATGGGTTGACCAGTGTTGGACGCGTCCACTTGGGGCAGCTATAGCACGTTACGTAGGCCGCCAGGAGGAAAAAATCTCACAATATTTTTGAAGGAAACTTCAGCCTGTGCACATTACTTTTAGGAAACTTATTTATTTGTTATTACATAATTACTAGAACTTATTTCATTTGTTTTTGGCTATGATTAATTGTTCTAAAATTAATGGTAATTCCTGTACCCAGGTGGTCCCTCCCGACGCTCCCCTCCCACCCTCCCAACACCACCCACCCACCCCACCCCCTCCTCCACCATGCGTCTAAAGCCAACAGCAGACGGGATTAATACAGTACGGCCAAATTTTCATCCGGCCAAACCAGCTTTTATCCAGTTTCTGTGGCCATTTTGACGGGATATTGAGATAACTTTATCCGGTCACGATTTTGGTTGTATAATGGCATTTTCCGGATGTTTGAATCCCGGATAATCGTGGGGTTACAGTAATTACTTAAGTGTAGTTACAGGATGAGAGCTACACTCGTGGTGTCCCGTCTTCCCAGCACTCTTTGTCATATAACGCTTTGAAACTACTGACGGTCTTGGCCTCCACCACCTTCTCCCCTAACTTGTTCCAACCGTCTACCACTCTGTTTGCGAAAGTGAATTTTCTTATATTTCTTCGGCATCTGTGTTTAGCTAGTTTAAATCTATGACCTCTTGTTCTTAAAAGTTCCAGGTCTCAGGAAATCTTCCCTATCGATTTTATCAATTCCTGTTACTATTTTGTATGTAGTGATCATATCACCTCTTTTTCTTCTGTCTTCTAGTTTTGACATATTTAATGCCTCTAACCTCTCCTCGTAGCTCTTGCCCTTCAGTTCTGGGAGCCACTTAGTAGCATGTCTTTGCACCTTTTCCAGTTTGTTGATGTGCTTCTTAAGATATGGGCACCACACAACTGCTGCATATTCTAGCTTTGGCCTAACAAAAGTCGTGAACAATTTCTTTAGTATATCGTCATCCATGTATTTAAAAGCAATTCTGAAGTTAGAAAGCGTGGCATAGGCTCCTCGCACAATATTCTTTTTGTGGTCCTCAGGTGATAGTTTTCTATCTAGAACCACCCCTAGATCTCTTTCTTTATCAGAATTTTTTAAAGATTTCTCACATAATATATAGGTTGTGTGGGGTCTATGTTCTCCTATTCCACATTCCATAACATGGCATTTATTAACATTAAATTCCATTTGCCAAGTGGTGTTCCATATACTTATTTTGTCCAGGTCATCTTGAAGGGCATGACAATCATCTAAGTTTCTTATCCTTCCTATTATCTTAGCATCATCAGCAAACATGTTCATATAATTCTGTATACCAACTGGTAGATAGATCATTTATGTAGACAATAAACATCACTGGTGCCCTTCTGAACTGAACCCTGTGGTACTCCACTTGTGACATTTCTCCAGTCCGATACATTGCCTCTGATCACAGCCCTCATTTTTCTATCAGTCAGAAAATTTTTCATCCATGTTAGAAGGGTACCTGTCACTCCTCCAATATTTTCCAGTTTCCAGAACAACCTCTTATGTGGAACTCTGTCGAAAGCCTTTTTTAGGTCCAGATAGATGCAGTCAACTTAACCATCTCTTTCCTGTAATATCTCTGTTGCTCGATCATAGAAACTGAGTAAATTCGATACACAGGATCTTCCAGATCGAAAACCATACTGTCTGTCTGATATTATATCATTTCTCTCCAGGTGTTCTACCCATTTAGATTTAATTATTTTTTCCAATATTTTGACTATTACACTTGTCAATGATACCGGTCTATAAATAAGGGGGTCTTCCCTGCTTCCACTTTTGTAGATTGGAACTATGTTAGCCTTTTTCCACACATCAGCTACAACTCCTGTAAACAGGGATACCTGAAAAATCAGTTTAAGAGGAATGCTGAGCTCAGGTGCACATTCTCTCAGAACCCATGGTGAAACTCCATCTGGACCAACTGCTTTGTTCTTATTTAGCTCCTTGAGCATTTTTTCCACTTCGTCTCTAGACACCTCTATGTGCTCTATGTTGTTCTCTGGAATTCTTATTGTATCTGGTTCCCTGAAGATTTCATTTTGTGCAAACACACTTTGGAACTTTTTGTTTAATAATACTATCATGGCTAAATAATACCGGATACATATATATAGTTGGACATTTTTAGGCGATGCTGTGGTCACAAGCTGAACAGCAATGCTGATAGCGCATGCTGTGTGCGCCAGCCTTGGTTGCTCACTCAGTACTGAGGCTCTCACACCCGGGAATGTTGCCCACAATTAAAAAAAAAAAACACAAACGCGTCCATTTAGGAGAGCCCTGAGGAAGCTGATGTGAACCCCGTGTAGCCGCGGGAGTTTTGAATGATACACTATACCTATAAGAGCCCTGAGGCGCGTTGCACACCACCCGTTGAGAGCCTCAAGGCGCATTGCACAGTGAAATGGTTAACAAGGTCCCCTAGGCCACCTAATGACCTTCCCCAGGAAGCAACCCACAATAGTTGCCTAACTCCTAGGTACCTATTTACTGCTAGGCAAACAAAGGCATCAGGTGAAATTAAACATGCCTCGCCATTTGTGTCCCACACGAGGACCGGGTCCCTCAGACACAGCTTGTGAACCGAGGACATTCCATGGATAAGTAAGGGTGGGGTTGGTGGGGTTGGTTACTGTTAGGTGAGGAGCAGGAATACTCACCTAATTGTGTTAGCTGGGGGGTTGAGCTTTAGCAATTTGGTCCCACCTCTCAGTCTTCAATCAACTGGTAAACAGGTCTCTCTAGATACAGGCCTTGTCATACTTCTATTAGAAGTCAAGACTGGAATCTGCCTTCAACACTTAACTGCATAGACCATTCAAAGTGTTCTCTACAATGTGTCTACTTTGTCAATACCCCTGAGAATTTTACATGTTGTAATCATGTCTTCTCTTACTCTTTGTCTTTCAGTAATGTGAAATTAATTGCTCACATCTTTCCTCATAACTCATCCCTGAGGGAGGGAGAGACGATTGGTAAACAATCTGTAACTGTTAACCCAGCAGTAACTTGGGACCTGGTTGTAAGCCAACTCACAGATAGTGTTCCAGGAGAAAGTAATTAGGGTAGTGCTCAAGTTGAACTGTGGGACGACAAAACTAAGCTGCTAACAGGAGTCAGAAGCCATCGTGTTCCAGGATAAACTTGTAGGGTAAGGCTTCCCATGAGCTGTGATAAACTAGTAGTGTAAGGCTTCCCATGAGCTGTGATAAACTAGTAGTGTAAGGCTTCCCATGAGCTGTGATAAACTAGCAGTGTAAGGCTTCCCATGAGCTGTGATAAACTAGCAGTGTAAGGCTTCCCATGAGCTGTGATAAACTAGCAGTGTAAGGCTTCCCATGAGCTGTGATAAACTAGCAGTGTAAGGCTTCCCATGAGCTGTGATAAACTAGCAGTGTAAGGCTTCCCATGAGCTGTGATAAACTAGCAGTGTAAGGCTTCCCATGAGCTGTGATAAACTAGCAGTGTAAGGCTTCCCATGAGCTGTGATAAACTAGTAGTGTAAGGCTTCCCATGAGCTGTGATAAACTAGCAGTGTAAGGCTTCCCATGAGCTGTGATAAACTAGCAGTGTAAGGCTTCCCATGAGCTGTGATAAACTAGCAGTGTAAGGCTTCCCATGAGCTGTGATAAACTAGCAGTGTAAGGCTTCCCATGAGCTGTGATAAACTAGCAGTGTAAGGCTTCCCATGAGCTGTGATAAACTAGCAGTGTAAGGCTTCCCATGAGCTGTGATAAACTAGCAGTGTAAGGCTTCCCATGCAGTGTAAGGCTGAGCTGTGATAAACTAGCAGTGTAAGGCTTCCCATGAGCTGTGATAAACTAGCAGTGTAAGGCTTCCCATGAGCTGTGATAAACTAGCAGTGTAAGGCTTCCCATGAGCTGTGATAAACTAGCAGTGTAAGGCTTCCCATGAGCTGTGATAAACTAGTAGTGTAAGGCTTCCCATGAGCTGTGATAAACTAGCAGTGTAAGGCTTCCCATGAGCTGTGATAAACTAGTAGTGTAAGGCTTCCCATGAGCTGTGATAAACTAGCAGGGTAAGGCTTCCCATGAGCTGTGATAAACTAGCAGGGTAAGGCTTCCCATGAGCTGTGATAAACTAGCAGGGTAAGGCTTCCCATGAGCTGTGATAAACTAGCAGTGTAAGGCTTCCCATGAGCTGTGATAAACTAGCAGGGTAAGGCTTCCCATGAGCTGTGAGACTGGGAAGCTCTCAAGTGTGCTTGCTGCCTGTTAATGACCTGTTGATCAGTGAGAGAATTATCGTTCCCATGGCCCTGACTCTGGGAAGGCTCTGACCAGGCCTTCTGGTTGGTGTCTGGTCAACAAGCAGCCTGACGTATGAGTCACAGCCTGGTTGATCAAGTATCATTTGAAGGTGTTTATCAAGTTCTCATTGAACACCGCAAGAGGTCGGAGAGTTATACCCCGCATGTGGAAGAGGAGTGTGTTGATAAGTCTTGAGCCTTTGATGTTCATAGAGTTCTCTCTCAGTGTACCTATTGCACCTCTGCTTTTTAATGTGGTTATTATACATATTCTGTCATGCCTCTTGGTCTCGTATGGTTATTCCTGTGGGCAGACTTGGGACCAGTTCCACTATTTTCCAATTGTAAATTATTATGCATCTCTCCCGCTTGTGCTCAAGGTAATACATGTTTAAATTTTTAAGCAGTCCAAATAATTAAGATGCTTTATTGAGTGGATTCTAACAGTAAAAGATCTTTGCACAAGTATCTTTGATGTACAGGCTGACCCCACCATGTAATCTATGTTTCCTATCACACCCTGAAAAGATTGAATTCTGGTATCCATATCTCACTATCACAAGTTAGTTTGGATTTCAGTTAAAGCTGCAAACTTGCATTTGCCACATTTAGGAGACCAGTTATAAAATAGCCTTTGTGTTGCATGTTTTGATACCTCAAATATTGGCAAAAATGAAAGATGATATTGTATTTGTGGAAGTGCTGGGTATTTTAATTGGTGTTAACACTTTCGTTCGAGAGGGACGTATACGACATCCGTAATTAACTGCGGATATTCGGGAGGGACGTCTACAACATCCGATTTTAATATATTTGTTAAAATTACATTTTTTATCCGATCATTTTGGGAACGTGTTTTAAAGTTTGTGTCAATGTCTTCCCATTTTCTGTTAGGGGCCATGGGGCATCAAGGTTTGCCAAAAATACAGGACTGTGAAACTAACCCCAACAAATATACAGACTACAGTTGACGCTTTTTCTGATTTTGAAGATGAAAGTGACGAAAGTAACAGTGATGTAGACAGTGAGTTTGTTGAAATTGAAACAGCAGGCGAGGATGAACTTGAAAGTGAGGAGAGTGCTGATTTTGAGCCTCCCACTGCCACAGGCACACATGGACGCACCGCATGTAGGAAACGTAAACGTTCTGGTGAAGCCCGGTCAACTGACAACACTGCACCATTTGTAAACAGTTTTACTGCAACACCAAGCTTGACTGTACCAGTACCAAGCACTCCTCTGGGATGTTTACAGTTATTACACCCGGACCATCAGGTGTGAGGCAGCCACTATTCCCATCTTCACCTTGACGTGACAATTCATCATCTGACTCAGAAGACGAGTCAGATTATTCCTTCTGCTGCTACTGCTAGGAGAAACCCTCATATTGTTGATAAACCAGAACGTCTGATCAGCAAATTGAACCATTCTCTATTTCGCGTCCAGAAAGGGATGAAGGGTCATGTTTGCTTCAGAAATGGTAAAAGGGAAGACACCAAATATAAGTGCAAGTCGTGTGGTGTGGCACTGTGTGCTGCACCATGCTCCGGCTTGTACCATCGCAAGAAGACATATTGGGTGGATAAGCAGTAATGCTTACTCACCATCCACTCCATCTATAAAACATTGGTTGAGCAACTTCATGAAACAGTTTCCTGGAGCAGGTGGAATGGTTCAGCCTAATGCTCAACTCATGCTCTACAAACATCATTGGGTGGTAAGTACAGCCTTTTTTTTCCCCCGTTGTAGAAAAAATTAATTCAAAATTCATTCATGTAGAAAAATCCTTCTATTGCAAACAAATTGGTACCAAAATGAATGGCCTAACAAGAAAATTGACATTATCAAACTAAAAAACCTATACACATTTGTGTGCAGGTGTAGTGGGTGTGCAAATGAGTGCTAGCTCATGGCTAACGGATTTTGCTCTTTATATTCATATGCCCTGTATGGAATTTTATTGTGAACAAACTGATACCATATTGAACGACGTAGGACCAGAATTAAGGTGAGAATCCTACAAAACGTAGTCACATTTTGGTGGAATTGCGCACTCATGGGTAACAATCGGCCGATTTCTGAGTTTGGTGCGAGGTGGCACGCCGGACTTTTGGACTTCGTATGTATATATTCCCGTAGGGAATTCTATTGCGAACAAAAAGATACTAAAATCAACGCTGTAAGACGAAAATTGAAGTGAGAAACGTAAAAGATAATAAGTATATATTTGAGTGTGGCAGCACGCTAACAGCCGGCGCACCTTGAGGTAGTCTAGGGAGCATGCGGTGGGGACGGGATAGTGTTAATATCTGTGGTTCTGGTAAGGGTGCCACATTGTCTGTCCTGTCTACCATTTGACCGAGTTGATGGTAGAGTTTGGACATTTCTTGCCATTCTTTTCATTTTTCCGTCACTAAAAAGTCATCCCAGTATGTATGGGTATTGCTGTATTCATTATGGCATTCAGAGGCGTCTTCAGGTGGTATTCCAGAGTAAACTTGAAGGGTAAGGGTTAAGATGACCTGTGGGAGGAAAAGCACTAGACCAGCTAACTCCTGTATTTACCTCTGAAAGAGAAAAGTTTATGTATTGGCTGAAAATTTACCAATACTAATGCTGCAAAAATACACAGACATCACTGATGATACATCGGTTCACCTTTAATATATAATGTAAGTTGTCAATATCATACCTAAACCAAGGCTTGTTGATATAGACATCACGCGTAGAGTTCAATCTGGCGAGATCCTCCATTGCATACTTGCGAGTATTTAGTGTTGTCTTGTAAGCTACTGGGGCAAACAGAGTCTGGTTTGTAAATTTGCCACGGTCCCAAAACATTCCTGAAGACCAAATCTGAAAAGAAAAATACCTGTAATACGTTTGCAGGATAACGAAATTTATTCTGTCTAAATGCACCATCTTAGAATATGTATGTAGCATGAGATATAATGTGATCTAATGTGATAAATAGGGGAACTATTGAACAGTTTGAAGAAAAAATTCATTTTTTTGTTAAATACTTGCCCAAAACATCAGGGTACATATAACTAGCCAACCTCTCAAGGAGTTCTCAAGAGAATTTGATAAAAACTACCTGCATAGGACACCTGATCTGTGTCAGGTGTGACTCGTGCGTTAGGTCGCTGGAACACTCAGAGAGAAAGTGGGGTTGTAGAGGGAAATAATGAGGTATGGTGAAAGCAAGCATTATGTGTATTCTCTCAGAGTAGACATCATACTGGAGTTATGAAGTTAATATCCCTAACACTCCATTAGTCTATAAAATAATGAGTGGTGGCAGCCCATCCTCCCCATTATTTACTCGTTTCCTCCCAAGTGTCCCTTAAAGTAATAACAGATTCCCCCATTATGTTTTTTCTCTTTAATGGGTAAAAGGATGCCCCCCCTTCCTCCTCCCTCCCATTCCTTTGTACCTATTAGGAGTCTAGTTACCAGAGCAGGCAATGTTTTCTTTTCCTTGGGGGATTGGCATGGTCTGTCTTGCTCCCACACTCGAGTGGCATGAAGAGGCGACTGTTTCAGGTGATTTTGGGTGGCCTTTCTCTTGAGCTGTTCTATGACTAGGTGTCTGCTCCAACACTTTCCCAGGATGTGGGCCTGGTGCAGCTCCATGGTCACATGTCTTTGTTGTCGCCAGTGATCATAGCGAAGAAACATCATGCCCTCTCACATTTGGGCTTCCATCGTGCATTTTCTGGTAATCGTTGAGCTCCATTCTGATTGGCTGTACGAGGAAGTTGTGGTGCTCAGCTTGGGACCTGGTGTGTGGGTCTTGGTGTCTTCGTCAGTGGCTTCGTCAGTGGCTCTTCCCAAGCTGTATGCACCAGTGCTGCAAGAGGCAGTGCCTGCTAGCATGATTCTATGTAGCCTATCTTAGGCTACCTCTTGTAGGAGTTTTTCCCATTCAGCAGCCATCATTTTAGTGTTTATTTGTTCGTGCATGTGTGTGTTCAGAGGAAAGTAGGTAGGGTAACTATGAATGTGTTTTTATGATGTTAATGAGAGAGTTATGTGGTGAGGAGGAATCAGAGGCAAGAGCTCTTTCCCACTAAGATGGAAGAATCCCAGAAATTGTGTGACAGAGGCTCCAGTTGCCATGGTAACCGAGATGGCACTGTTATGAACCTTGTCTCTTGCAGAGATTTTGATGTAGACAAGCTTTGTAACACGTTACCTAAAGGAGAGAAAGTTATATAAAAGCAATAAAGAGTACATTTCCTGAAAGAAACCTGCAGCTGTCAGAGGTCGGGTGTTGAGGTCGGGTGTTGCTGATATTACTCCGCCGAGGAATCTAGTACAGTACCTAGAGGAGGAGATTTAGTGTGAACTATCAATATATTTTATGGAAATATTTTGTGAAGGAAAAATGGACTCGTTTATATAACCTACGAAGGGAGTATGGTTAAATGAGTCATTATAGAGTGTGACTAGGAAGGATGAGATGGCTGTCAAGGTGCGAGTGACGTGGCTAAACGGGTGGATGCCATCGTACCCTGGCCGGAGGAGCGTCTGTGTTGGCCGATTACTGATGCTTTGAGGGATCCAGATAAGCATTAATGTTGTAGTCATTCAGGTTGCAAGAGTTTGTAGAGTAAATTGATGTTCTACCGAGTAGGTTACTTAACATTTTTGCTTGGCGATAACTCAGCATTGAGTCCTCCATAAAACAGGGGCAAGTCCGGCGAGGACTCAGCATTGAGTCCTCCATAAAACAGGAGCAAGTCCGGCAAGGACTCAGCATTGAGTCCTCCATAAAACAGGGGCAAGTCCGGCGAGGACTCAGCATTGAGTCCTCCATAAAACAGGGGCAAGTCCGGCGAGGACTCAGCATTGAGTCCTCCGTGCGGCAACAGTAGCGGCATTTTTGGGAAGATTTTGTTCCGGTTTTGGATATTATATGAATATACACCCGTAGGGAATTTCATTGCGAATACATTGATACCAAAATGAAAGTCCTAGGACCAGAATTGAGGTAACAAAGTTGAAAACAGAATACCCATTTTATTGCTCTTTATTAGCGCTCACTGGGGTAACGCTCTGTCACTTTCTCTGTTTGCTGTGGGTGGTACGCCGGACTTTTGGACTTTATATTTGCATATACTCCTGAAGAGAATTCTATTGCGAACACAATGATACCAAAATGAAAGACCTAGGACAGGAATTGAGATGACAGAGTTGAAAAAAGTATACACTTTTCAGAATTACTGCGCCCTCTAATATAATGAGAGGCACCTTGGGGTGACACAGCGCTCTCTTTCTAGTAACCGCGGCCTGTTTTCATCACGTCGGCGGGTGGAGATCGCTGCTGTTTTTGACATTATATGCATATACTTCTGTTGGGAATTCAATTGCGAACACATTGATACCAAAATGAAAGACCTAGCACGAGAATTGAGTTGACAAAACTGAAAAGAGTGTAAACATTTTATCCCTTTTGTGCGCTCCTGGGTAACTTTCTCTCACTTCCTCTGTTAGTTGCGGATGGTAAGCCAGGCTTTTGGAGTATATATGCATTTAGTCTTGTAGAGAATTCTATTGCGAACCCATTGATACCAAATTGAAAATCTTAGGACGAGAATTGAGCTGACAAAGTTGAAAAAAGTATACACTTTTCAGAATTTACCCGCTCCCGTGAAACACCCAAGCCCACCTGAGGTAGTGGGAGGTCGCGCGCCCAGTGAGCGAAAGTGTTAGGAGTGTCCAGGTTTCCTAGTTCGTATATATCTGTGTCTGACAAATATGAGAATGTGTGTGATTGCTGTATAAATTCACTATTGTTGGGCCAGAGTATTAAGGGTTATCATATTGCTGGAGTTTTTTGTGGAAGATAAATCATATTGATGTGTAGCTATTAATGAGATTGTTCATTAAGTTGTGAGGAGTTTCCTCTCAATATTTTATATGGTGTATGTCTTATTTTGCAAATATATTTTTAATTTGTTACTCTACTCAGACGTTTCCTAACTCCTGTTTCAAATTCCCTTGGCAAAACTAGAAGGTTACCATCCATCATATTCACTAAACAAATAAGTAAGTTTAGAAGAATTATATGACCAAAGCAGTAGCCTAGGGACACAGTCATACTTGAGATTGGTTAGTAAGGGCCAGGTCGTGCAATAGAGCAAACGTCAGTAATTTATAAAATGCCATGACAGAGGAAAGGGGGCACCAGAATGTCAGTTAACAGAAACGTGGAGTAGTCCTGACAGGCACAACCTGTGAGAACCAATCAGCATGAAGCAAGATGATGACGTCATGCAAGGAAAGTGCAAAAATGGCCCAAAACAAATCACTTTTCGCCCGACAGTCAAGGAGGTCTGACGTCTGTCACCTGTCGTTCCGTCAATGGACAGATATTGTCAACTGATGTACGTGAGTAGGACCGGCACGAAAAAAATTAGGGCAGTATCCAGTAGTGCGTGTGAGCCAAAGGGCTGACCTCTTTGCAAGTGGATTTGTCGAGCAGTGCAACAAAGTTGTGAGAGGTGGCAAGCCGTGACATCTGTGAGGCGGACCCAATGAGAGAGGTCTTTGTCGGCAGGAAGGGCAACCCTCCTTCAAGAGTATAGGCATACAAGGAAGGGTACTGAGCTAGTGCACCAGGAGGGTGTCACAGTGATGTTCTGTGGAGTCGACAGATGCAGTTGTGGTTATTTGAGAACCAGTCCTCCAGAGTTATAGTAATGTTTCTGAAGCAGTGAGGCACAAAATACAGGCTGGAAAAACCAGCCTGTATTTTGTGCAAGAGAATTTGGGGGGCCCATGATAGAGCCCCATGTGATCGTGTGAGGATCGGCCCAGGTAAAGGAGCGGTTTGGTGGGGCCAGTGTTTTGAGCCCTCAGGCAGCCAGGTGAGGGATGGCCTAAATTGAATAACATTGTCAGCGATATATGAGATTATTTATATATCTCAAGGAACCACAAGTGAGGTGGGGCCCATGAGCTGAAGTCCAGGGGACAAGGTTGTGTATACACATTCCAGTTTTGATTGTAATACTGTGGCAGGCTGTCGTCTTTGCAGAAATTGGCAAAGACGAATACTCTGGCGGCTGTCTTTGGTAATATCTCTTGGGTTGATATTCAGGTGCGGGGCTTTTGGCCTGGTATTTAATGTTCCCAGACCTCAGCTTCCTTGTATGGCCTTGGGTCTGGTTTCTCGGCTGCCGTTCTTGTCTTCATCTTGACTGCCTGCAGTTCTGTCTCCTCCCTGGTAAGGCCCCGTGTTTCCTCCATCTCCAAGGGTAGTTGGCTTCAGGAAACCACAAGGGGAGTTACCCTAGAAAACCAGCGTCGAGTGTAATTAAATGCCAATTTCTGGGTGAGCTCCTGTGGCTCTGATTCCTCCCTCTCTTCCAGGTCATCAGGCAAGGATCTTGTGCATGCATTTGCTCCAGAACTAAGGGCTCAAGCCTTGAAAAGGCCTGGGTTTCTCCCCCCCCCCCCAAATGAATGTGGGGGGGGGGAAGAGAGAATGAGCACATGCTAGTTTTGAGAGATGTTATTGTTTTTTACACAGTTGGAGTTCATTAGGTAGGCTGCAAGGTTTCAGTCTTCTGTGAATCCAGCAGTTGTCTGTTTTAGTTTACTGACTTTCTGGATGCCTTCCCCAGTGAGGTGACAGTTTGTCATCGTCTTCCTGCGGCTCTTTAAAGGGGCCACGTTCTGGCTCGGGTCACTGGTAGGCCTAAGTACTCTGCAGCTGATGTGATCTAGTAGTTGGGAGCCATCTCACTCGGATAGTTTCAGAGCCACAGAGGCTCACTCAGAAACTGGTGTTTAATAACATTCAAAGCATGTTTTTATTATGTTACGATCTTGGGGCCACAAGTGCACACGTGCCCTAACATTAACGTCTCGCAATAACACCACGTAGCCACCCAGCCATAGTGTCTATATAAAAATATGATTATAATTTAAAATAAAATAGCACCCTAAAGTTTACAGTCAAATTTTAAAGGAAAACTTCGTAATATAAACCATGTTTTGAAACTAAGGTTTAAGTCAAGAACCAAAACAAAATCTTGTCTGGAAATGGAGCAGAACATTGCATACTTAAATTGCAAATAATGTACTTACCCTGCTGTTGCCCAGAATAATTGATAACACTTCGCCCATCATCTGATCTTCTGAGAGCGGTTGGTCAATGACACGCACTCCCGAGAAGATTTCCTTATGGTTCACAAGCTGAGGAACATTACTTTTTGTAAGTACAACATTACTTTTTGTAAGTACAAATAAGTACTTGTACTTTTGTACAAGTACAAAAACAAATATAAGTACAAATAAGCAAAACTGTAATTGTAATTGTTAACAATAAAAATTTTATGGTAATTAAAACTGAGCGAGGCCAATGTAACAAATAGGAAGTTTAACAGAAAAGGAAGCTTTAATCAAGCCATCCATAATACAGAGCAACATGACCTCATACACATGCATGCTAATTACTCCCGACCAAACTAACTAACTTCGTTATGCTAATGCCCACTACACCTGTTCTCCAGTCCTAACAACGAGCTCCCCAGCTGAGAGCAAGAGTGTGTGTGTGTTTGAGTACAACCACGAGGTAGTGAGAGTAAAGTAGTGGATGAGCAAATGAGCCTAAGTGTATGTGTGCATAAGCTAATGTTTATTTCTTTAGCCAAACACCCTCCCACATGTGGTGAACCCTTGATATACACCAGCCATGAGGAATAGATTTATTCTGGGGAAAGGAAGCAAGTTGAACAACACTCCAAATATTCTTAGCTACTAGTTAAATTAGCTTTTAGCTAAGTTCAATGAAGAGAAAAAATTGCAACATGGCTAAAAACAAAACCCCCCCCCAATCCACACACATGAAATGAAAAATGACAGTTTCAGTTTGTTTCTGGCCCATGCCAAGTTTCTTTTCCTTCCAAATGTTAAATAGAGAGCTTTAAGAGCAGTGTAGATCTGGTTTAAGCCTTTTACCCCTTCCTCAACTATAAAATAGAATGTTAAAAGTTAAAACTACTTTTAGGAGTTAAATCTCAGATTGCGAACATAATCCAGGAAATCTACGCCAGAAAAAACCAGCGTTGAATGTAATGAAACGCCATTTTCTGGATGAGACCCGGAGGCTCCCTGGAGCTTTCTAGGCTGAAATGCTTATGTTAGACTTTGGCATCAGTCATGTGTATGGAGTTCAATGGGCCTACTGGGGACCACAAGCCAGAACCTGGCCCCCCTCAGAGAGGCAAGGGGAGCAATGGCCTATAGAAACCCCCGTGTGGTTGGAAGCATTCCGTCTGCCATCGACCGGGTCAGGCACCCACAAAGGTAAGCATCCCAAAACAAACCCCTATTCTGGTGAAATTATTGCTACCTAAAGCCGAACAAATGGATAGAAATCCCCTAAACGAAACGAGCAAACGATCATGACGTCACACATCGCCGCGCCGCTGTCTGCGCAGCTCCCCCCTCTCCGGGAGGGGGAAGGGGGAGCCCCAGACCCCACACGCCGGCTATCCACCCTTTAGTTCTAAGGCTGGATGTCAAAACACGAGAAAAACCGCCGACTGGAGGGAGGGAGGGATGCCGGGCAGCTTCCGGGTCTCACTCAGAAAATGGCATTTCATTACATTCAACACTGGTTTTCTGGGGGAAGCCCCTGCGGCTCCCCAGAGCTAACTACCCACAGAGGAAAAAACATAGGGACTTACTCGGGAGACGGTTGCTGCTCAATCCTCAACCCGAAGTCGAGACAACTGGCTGCAACCGCTGACCCAAAGCGACACAGGCCCGACTAGGCCCAGGGACGTTCACAAGGTAACGAGCAGCCAAGACCCTGTTCGACCGCCAAAAACCCCGCACCCGAATGTCAGCCCACGACATGTTGCTAAAGACGGCAGCAAGAGCAGCGAACTTACGAACGTCATGGGCACGGGGATAGACCGGAGGCTCGCTAGCCTTAATTACTCTGTGGACGACCTGGGAGACCTGCACCCGCGAACAGGGAAGAAGGGAAACCGGATCAACCCAATGCCTGTCTCTGGACACAGAAGCCATGGCGCGCAAATAATGACAAAGAACCACAACCGGACACAAAACATGATGCACCCCAGGCCGAACCAACCGAGCATCCACAACCCAGGGACCCCTCCGGAAAGCAGCAGTCTCATTTTTTGTCAGAAAAGAAGTAGACGGCTGCAAACGAACAAAACCATCACTAAGACTGAAAGAGCAGAAACCCCTGTGCTGGAGGAGAGCATGAAGCTCTCCAACCCAACCCCCCAGAGGCCACAACAAACCGAGGAGAAGAAAGATAAGAGAGCACTCTGTCCAATGACCAGGACGGCTCAGGCGGCGCATGAGCAGGCCGGAGGTGAAACAATGCCCGAGACAGCTTGCGAAACGGCGCAGAAGTAACATTAATAACGAAAGCAAGCTGAAGCAGCTCCGCCAGCGCCGCACGATACGAGGCAGCAGTGTTAGGCATAAGGTGACGGTCCTGGAACAACCAAGAGAGAGAAAGGACGACACCCGAACAGAAAGCGAAGAACAACGACAAAGACGCAGGAAGAAACGGGAGGACCACCAGGAAACTTCTTACTGCCGCCAAGACGAAACCCGCAGGTGGGACACTAACAAGGAAGCCACCTGATCACCATAGAGATGATGATGAACTCGAGTCAAGAATATCATACGCGAAGACTCAAGGAGAAGATCGAACCAGCGGGAAAACCTCCGGGTTCAGACACTGAGCAAGCAGCGCCTGAAACCACAGCTGGGCCTGCCACCACAGCTGGGCCTGCCACCACAGCTGGGCCTGCCACCACAGCTGGGCCTGCCACCACGGAGCCAAGAGGACAACTTTCCCTTGGTAAGTCTCCAAGCGAGTCAGGACCTGAAGCAACAGCTGAACCGGGGGAAAGAGGAAAAAACCCACAGAAAAATGGTTGCTACATGATCTAAACAAGAAATAAGATTTACCAGCATATTATTGAAAGAAACTTGTATACTATATACAGGGAATAAGTTACAATAATAGCATAGCTGAAAATATATAACCCAACCAATACGTGAAAACAAACAAAAGTGATAGATTGCTGACAAGCGCATAATGATCGTGCAAATAAGATACAACTGACAGCAAAGTCTTAAATTTCATTAAAAGTGCTCATCCACACAAGTAATAAAGAGCAAAATTACAATGGAATATTAGTTACCTGCAGGAAAGCACTCAGAAAATTTGCAAGACGAAGTGCCATTCTTGCTTCGTTCTCAAACTGCTTCTCCATACCAAAACCGATGTCGCCTTGCAGAACTAAATCATCGGGAGAGAACAGGTGACAGTTCTCGGGAGTGACAGATTTAAGAAACTCTATGACTTCATCGACGTTAATATTGCTAGTCCTGGCAGCACTGGGTCCCGTTACGTTGTAATAATCTCTTGACAGGAACTTCTGTCGCTCGTATTCATCCATCTTGTTGTAGTCAAATGGTAGTTTTTGGATCCCTAAAGAAAAGATACCCAATGTTTATTGTACTAAAACACTTCTTTTTGGATAGTGCCATGGTATCTACCCTAGCTACCCATTTGGCTAGCAAGGGCATGTACCAAGGGGGTAGGGGGGGGGGCATTTGCAAATGTGGTTTTACACGTCTTCTACAGTATGATCAAAATACCCTACACTTAGCCCTACTGCAGTATTACTGTAATAATGTGCATGAAGTAGGACTTTGAAATATTAAGAGCAATCCTTTCTGAACAGCATCACTGAATTGCTCCCTCAAGCTAAACCCGCCGAGTCTTTTACACAGATGGTACACTATCAGGCACAGAAACATGTCATTTTTAAGCCCCTATGACAACACCTAAATATTACAACACATTTAAGCTACCTGTAATTTTCATAGCCTCGCTAATTCCGATTATCAATAACTTTAGTAAGCTTTAAAAGTACAGAACAAAACCTACCGTGTAAACCACAAGTCCATGGTAATTATGTGAGGTACTGTCAACCCATTCTTGCACTTTCGTATAGTCAATATTAACTTATTAAATACGTGCATATGTGACATACTAAACATACTAGTTTACCTTGAAAAGCTTCATAGAAAACACCGACCTTACCTAACCTTCTTAGTATGTTAAGATAAGCATCTTATTGCTTCGTAATTAGTGGGGCAGTGGTGGGTTGATCAGGGTGTGGGACAGTGGTGGGTTGATCAGGGTGTGGGGCAGTAGTGGGTTGATCAGGGTGTGGGGCAGTGGTGGGTTGATCAGGGTGTGGGACAGTGGTGGGTTGATCAGGGTGTGGGGCAGTAGTGGGTTGATCAGGGTGTGGGGCAGTGGTGGGTTGATCAGGGTGTGGGGCAGTAGTGGGTTGATCAGGGTGTGGGTTGATCAGGGTGTGGGACAGTAGTGGGTTGATCAGGGTGTGGGACAGTAGTGGGTTGATCAGGGTGTGGGGCAGTGGTGGGTTGATCAGGGTGTGGGGCAGTAGTGGGTTGATCAGGGTGTGGGGCAGTAGTGGGTTGATCAGGGTGTGGGGCAGTAGTGGGTTGATCAGGGTGTGGGGCAGTAGTGGGTTGATCAGGGTGTGGGGCAGTGGTGGGTTGATCAGGGTGTGGGGCAGTAGTGGGTTGATCAGGGTGTGGGGCAGTAGTGGGTTGATCAGGGTGTGGGGCAGTAGTGGGTTGATCAGGGTGTGGGGCAGTGGTGGGTTGATCAGGGTGTCGGGCAGTAGTGGGTTGATCAGGGTGTGGGACAGTAGTGGGTTGATTAGGGTGTGGGACAGTAGTGGGTTGATCAGGGTGTGGGGCAGTGGTGGGTTGATCAGGGTGTGGGGCAGTGGTGGGTTGATCAGGGTGTGGGGCAGTGATGGGTTGATCAGGGTGTGGGGCAGTGGTGGGTTGATCAGGGTGTGGGGCAGTAGTGGGTTGATCAGGGTGTGGGGCAGTAGTGGGTTGATCAGGGTGTGGGGCAGTAGTGGGTTGATCAGGGTGTGGGGCAGTAGTGGGTTGATCAGGGCGTGGGGCAGTAGTGGGTTGATCAGGGTTGGGGCAGTAGTGGGTTGATCAGGGTGTGGGGCAGTAGTGGGTTGATCAGGGTGTGGGGCAGTAGTGGGTTGATCAGGGTGTGGGGCAGTAGTGGGTTGATCAGGGTGTGGGACAGTAGTGGGTTGATCAGGGTGTGGGGCAGTAGTGGGTTGATCAGGGTGTGGGGCAGTAGGGTGTGGTTGGGTTGATCAGGGTGTGGGGCAGTAGTGGGTTGATCAGGGTGTGGGGCAGTAGTTGATCAGGGTGTGGGGCAGTAGTGGGTTGATCAGGGTGTGGGGCAGTAGTGGGTTGATCAGGGTGTGGGGCAGTAGTGGGTTGATCAGGGTGTGGGGCAGTAGTGGGGTTGATCAGGGTGTGGGGCAGTAGTGGGTTGATCAGGGTGTGGGGCAGTAGTGGGTTGATCAGGTTGATGGGGCAGTAGTGGGTTGATCAGGGTGTGGGGCAGTGGTGGGTTGATCAGGGTGTGGGGCAGTAGTGGGTTGATCAGGGTGTGGGGCAGTAGTGGGTTGATCAGGGTGTGGGGCAGTAGTCAGGGTGTGGGGCAGGGTGGGTTGATCAGGGTGTGGGGCAGTAGTGGGTTGATCAGGGTGTGGGGCAGTAGTGGGTTGATCAGGGTGTGGGGCAGTAGTGGGTTGATCAGGGTGTGGGGCAGTAGTGGGTTGATCAGGGTGTGGGGCAGTAGTGGGTTGATCAGGGTGTGGGGCAGTAGTGGGTTGATCAGGGTGTGGGGCAGTAGTGGGTTGATCAGGGTGTGGGGCAGTAGTGGGTTGATCAGGGTGTGGGGCAGTAGTGGGTTGATCAGGGTGTGGGGCAGTAGTGGGTTGATCAGGGTGTGGGGCAGTAGTGGGTTGATCAGGGTGTGGGGCAGTAGTGGGTTGATCAGGGTGTGGGGCAGTAGTGGGTTGATCAGGGTGTGGGGCAGTAGTGGGTTGATAAGGGTGTGGGGCAGTATTGGGTTGATCAGGGTGTGGCTTGATGCAGGGTGTGGGGCAGTAGTGGGTTGATCAGGGTGTGTGGAAGTAGTGGGTTGATCAGGGTGTGGGGCAGTAGTGGGTTGATCAGGGTGTGGGGCAGTTGATCAGGGTGTGGGGCAGGGTGGGGGCAGTGTGGGTTGATCAGGGTGTGGGACAGTAGTGGGTTGATCAGGGTGTGGGGCAGTAGTGGGTTGATCAGGGTGTGGGGCAGTGGTGGGTTGATCAGGGTGTGGGGCAGTAGTGGGTTGATCAGGGTGTGGGGCAGTAGTGGGTTGATCAGGGTGTGGGACAGTGGTGGGTTGATCAGGGTGTGGGGCAGTAGTGGGTTACCTTGAGGCTACCTTGAGGTGCTTCCGGGGCTTAGTGTCCCCGCGGCCCGGTCGTCGACCAGGCCTCCTGGTTGCTGGACTGATCAACCAGGCTGTTAGACGCGGCTGCTCGCAGCCTGACGTATGAGTCACAGCCTGGTTGATCAGGTATCCTTTGGAGGTGCTTATCCAGTTCTCTCTTGAACACTGTGAGGGGTTTGCCAGTTATGCCCCTTATGTGTAGTGGAAGCGTGTTGAACAGTCTCGGGCCTCTGATGTTGATAGAGTTCTCTCTCAGAGTACCTGTTGCACCTCTGCTTTTCAACGGGGGTATTCTGCACATCCTGCCATGTCTTCTGGTCTCATGTGGTGTTATTTCTGTGTGCAGGTTTGGGACCAGCCCCTCAATTATTTTCCACGTGTAAATTATTATGTATCTCTCCCGCCTGCGCTCAAGGGAGTACAGATTTAGGCTCTTTAGTCGGTCCCAGTAATTTAGATGTTTTACTGAGTGGATTCTAGCAGTAAAGGATCTCTGCACGCTCTCTAGGTCAGCAATTTCTCCAGCTTTGAAAGGGGCTGTCATTGTGCAGCAGTACTCCACTCTAGATAGCACAAGCGTTTTGAAAAGTATCATCATCGGTATAGCATCTCTAGTGTGAAAAGTTCTTGTTATCCAACCTGTCATTTTTCTTGCAGTTGTGACGGCTACTTTATTGTGTTCTTTAAAGGTAAGGTCTTCCGACATGAGTACACCCAGGTCCTTTACATTGCCTTTTCGTTCTATGTTATGATTTGCCTGCGTTTTGTACGTGGTTCCTGTTTTTATGTTTTCAATTTTTCCGTAGCGCATGAGCTGAAACTTATCCTCGTTGAATACCATATTATTTTCTGTAGCCCATAGAAAGACCTGATCAACATCTGATTGGAGGTTTGCCGTGTCCTCTATGTTGCCAACTCTCATGAAAATCCTAGTGTCATCTGCAAAGGATGATACAGTGCTATAGGTTGTGTTCTGGTCTATGTCCGATATGAGGATGAGAAAAAGTACTGGAGCAAGCACAGTACCCTGGGGGACTGAGCTCTTCACGGTTGATGGGCTGGATTTTATTTTGTTGACTATTACACATTGGGTTCTGTCAGTCAGGAAATTGTAGATCCATCTGCCTATTTTCCCGGTAATTCCTTTTGAACGCATTTTATGTGCAATAACACCATGGTCACATTTATCAAAAGCTTTTGCGAAATCTGTGTAAATTACATCAGCATTTTGTTTGTCTTCCATAGCATCTAATGCCATATCATAGTGGTCCAGCAACTGCGACAGGCAAGAGCGCCCTGTTCTGAAACCATGTTGTCCGGGGTTATGGAGATGCTGTGATTCCATGTATTTTGTGATCTTACTTCTTAGCACTCTCTCAAAAATTTTTATGATGTGCGATGTTAGTGCTATCGGTCTGTAATTTTTTGCCTCTGCCTTATTTCCTCCTTTATGGAGTGGTGCTATCTCTGCTGTTTTTAGTATGTCAGGGATAACGCCAGTATCTAGGCTTTGTCTCCACAGAATGTGAAGGGCCTGCGATAGTGGTTTTTTACAGTTCTTGATGAATATGGAGTTCCAAGAATCCGGGCCTGGTGCAGAGTGCATAGGCATACTGTTTATGGCTTCTTCAAAATCTAGTGGGGATAGGGCGACGTCTGATATGTGATTTGATGTTGGTATCATATCCATGAAAAATTCATTTGGGTTATCAATCTTTAGTGCATTTAATGGCTCACTGAAAACAGAGTCGTACTGCTTCCTCAGTAACTCGCTCATTTCTTTGTTGTCATCTGTGAAAGTTCCATCTCCCTTTCGCAGGGGCCCGATACTAGATGTGGTTTTTGATCTTGATTTTGCATAGGAGAAAAAATATTTCGGATTTCTCTCTATTTCACTGATGGCCTTTTGCTCTCTTTGCCTCTCCTGGGTTTTGTATAATTCTTGTAGCTTGAGTTCAATTGTTTCTATTTCTCTACCTAACCTTCTTCGCCGTTCTTGAGATAGGGTGCGACTCTCAAGTTGTTCCGCGATTCGTTTTCTTCGCCTATATAAGGAACGACGTTCCCGTTCCAATCTGCATCTCTTTCTCTTTTTTCTTAGGGGTATGCGGTTTGAACATATTTCTAGTGCTACTGAGCTTATTTTTTCCAGGCACTGGTTCAGGTTTGCATTTCCTAGCTGTTCTTCCCAGTTTATTTCTGTGAAGTCCTGGTTTATTTGCTCCCAGTTTATCCGTTTATTATTGAAGTTGAATTTGCTGAAATCTCCTCCACCGGGAATCTGGACTGGTTTTGGAGGTCCATTCCCCATGGTTGTCAGTACCTCAATTAAGTTGTGATCTGAGTAACAGGTATTTGTAATCATTATGTTCCCGATCAACTCATCATTATTAGTGAAAATGAGGTCCAGCGTGTTCTCCTTCCTAGTTGGTTCTACTATTTGCTGGTTTAAGGCAAACCTATCGCACATCCGTAGCAGGTCATTTGCATGTGCCTGCTCATTTAGGCTACTTCCTGGTATTCTTTCTGATATTACTGTATTAGCCAGGTGCTTCCATTTCAGGTGCCGTAGGTTGAAGTCCCCAAGCAGGATGATGTTCGGAGCTGGATTTGTGAGGTTTTCCAAGCAGTGCTCTATTTTCATTAGTTGGTCTTTAAACTGCTGAGGGTTTGCCTCCGGTGACTTATATACAAGGACAACAACTACATTTAGGATCTCTATTTTGACTATCAGCACTTCCACCATATCATTTGAGGTGTTTAGCAGCTCAGTACAGATGAGTGTGTCTTTGATGTAGAGGCTGACCCCACCCTGAAGCCGGTGTTTCCTATCACATCTGAAGAGATTGTATTCTGGGATCCATATTTCACCATCAAGGTAGTCCTTTGTGTGAGTTTCCGTTAGGGCTGCAAACACTGCATTTGCCTCATGAAGGAGACCATCTATAAAATGAACTTTGTTGGATTTGCGTGTTTTTATACCCTGGATGTTGGCAAATATAAATGATGTTATCGTGTTAGTGGAAGTGCTGGATGCTTTAATTGGTGTTAATATCTGAGGCTCTGGTAAGGAGGCCACTGTGTTTGCGTCCTCTCTAGCATTTGACCGAGTTGGTGGTAGAGTCTGGTCATTTTTAGCCATTCTTCTCCTCCTCCTCTTGCTAAAAAATTATCCCGGTTGATGGAGTAGTGGCTGTTTTCATAGTGGTAGTCTGTCGGTTTTATTCGCCTGGTACCTCTTATATGAAAAGCTGGGCATTCAGCATTGAAGCACTCTTTCCTGTCCAAAGAGTTCTTGCAAATTTCTGGGTGAAAGAATTCACAGCTTTTGGTACATTTACCTGTATTGAGGAGGTTTCTGCACTTTCTAGGGTGATTGTGTGTACATGTTCCATTTATTCTTCCCGATTCCCCATGCTTACAGGTAGCCCATCTGTAATACCAACAGATTTTGGGGCCTTGTTTTGTTTGTTTCCCTCTGCCAGGGACCGCACTCTGCTGCGGCGCCCCCGACACTGTGCTCTGCTCCGGTGCCTGTGACACCGCGCTCTGCTCCGGTGCCTGCGACACCGCGCACTGCTCAGGGGTCCCCGACTCCGTGCCCTGCTCAGGCATCCCCGACTCCGCGCCCTGCTCAGGCATCCCCGACTCCGTGCCCTGCTCAGGCATCCCCGACTCCGCGCCCTGCTCAGGCATCCCCGACTCCGTGCCCTGCTCAGGCATCCCCGACTCCGCGCCCTGCTCAGGCATCCCCGACTCCGTGCCCTGCTCAGGCATCCCCGACTCCGCGCCCTGCTCAGGCGCCGCTGCCACAGAGCTCTGTGCTACAGCTGGTTGTACCTTGGTGTCATGTACAGTTTGTTTGAAGACATTAGAAATTGCTATGCAGGCATTAATTAGTAATTCTCTGTTTTCGGCGGGAGTTTTATCCAGGATTTCCATCAATTTCAAAAAAGTTACATCATCCTTTTTGCAGAGCCAGTACACAGAGTGGTCACTGGGACCATTTCTCCTTGAATTGTTAGTCATGTTGGCACATTTTTTGTGTATGGCTGCTGAACAGAGTTGGCATTGAAAGCTCTGTTGGTAATCTACCTTCATGTTGCATTCTATGCACGTTTTTATCAAAGCCATTTTTTTGAACACTTCTGTTCAGTGGTGATGGTCTTACAAGGTGGGGTGTTGACCGGTGGGGGAGTTGACCGCGGGTGCTGGCCGTGGGAGCTGGCCGTGGGTGTTGACCGTGGGTGTTTACCAACTTGAGATAGGCCTGGAAGAGGCTGTATGGACGGCCACTATTGCTACCACGTGTCGCACTCTTAATTTGTTTTGTTCACTTGTTAGATTACATTACTTGCATTTTCCCACTAGTTATCATACAGTAGAGGCGTCTAGTTTCTGTGTCTGGGCACTAGTTACCTGAGTACGTTACACTATTTGAAAGAATACACACACAAGAGGGTACTGGGGTGGGCCTACCTCCAAGTGGCCCTTGTTTACACACACACGACGGACTTATTTTGTGTGTAATTTGTTCACTTGATATTAGACTATGTTATCTTAATTTGTTATAATAGACACAGGTTTTGCATAGAGAGCTTAGCACTATGGGCACTGATTACTTCATGTTTCAATAGCGAGAGATGTGATTTATTGACGACTTGGCAACTATCGCCTAAGGCCTCCTGGCACCACGAGGGCAGGCCTTGACTACACACGAAGTTCACTTATTTTTCCTTTAACACAAACGGTCGGATGGTAATCACTATGATATATTGGTTAATAGGTTGAGACACACTTTAAAAGTTATCTGACTGTGTTTAGTTCCTGTATCACTGAAATGTCCCTAGTTATATATTGTTTTCCGCGGAGCTCGCACCGCGTGGCCCTTCCCCTCTCACACCCAAAACACGGGTTGATCAGGGTGTGGGGCAGTAGTGGGTTGATCAGGGTGTGGGGCAGTAGTGGGTTGATCAGGGTGTGGGTTGATCAGGGTGTGGGGCAGCAGTGGGTTGATCAGGGTGTGGGTTGATCAGGGTGTGGGGCAGCAGTGGGTTGATTAGGGTGTGGGTTGATCAGGGTGTGGGGCAGCAGTGGGTTGATCAGGGTGTGGGGCAGCAGTGGGTTGATCAGGGTGTGGATTGATCAGGGTGTGGGGCAGCAGTGGGTTGATCAGGGTGTGGATTGATCAGGGTGTGGGGCAGCAGTGGGTTGATCAGGGTGTGGGACAGTGGTGGGTTGAAGATCGGAATTAGCAAGTGAAGACAGTACATTTAGTTACAAACCTTGTTTACAATTTTAAGTGATATTGGATTTTTAATCAATAGTCTTCAGTCTTTGTCAATAGTCTTACCACTACACCAGTCTCCGTGGTGTAGTGTTAAGACACTCGCCTGGCGTTCCGCAAGCGCTCTGTCATGGGTTCGTATCCTGGCCGGGGAGGATTTACTGGGCGCAAATCCTTAACTGTAGCCTCTGTTTAATGCAACAGTAAAATGTGTACTTGGTTGTAACAACGATTGTTCGCGGCGGGGATCGTATTCCAGGGACCTGCCCGAAACACTACGCGTACTAGTGGCTGTACAAGAATGTAACATCTCTTACTTGTATATATCTCAAAAAAAAAAAAAATAAGAGAGACACTTACAACCAATGGGTGTACACCTGAAGGAGTTGCGGTACTGAAAAAGTGTTGCTCTCTCAATGAGCTCCCCGAGATACGGCCGCCGAACAACGTTTGGTAAACGGTATCCAGGTTTACACCTACACTGGTACCCACCACGTCTGAAGCCATAACCATCTAATGGTTCACACTGTAACAAATAAAATAAATATTAACTTACACAAACATTTTCATTGTCAATACATATATGTACCCAAATCAAAACTTAAATCACAAAGATACTTTGTATAAAAAGGATTACAATATAGTATTACAAACTTGCATAAAGCAGAAACAGCCAATATCATGAACCAGCCTCTCAAGAAAAACTAAGTTTATAAAATGAACAAAGACAATTGATAGAAATACCTCTGTTGTATCTTTTTTGCATTTTGCAGTATCTGCAAATCGATTGGGTCCTTCATTGCCTTCTCCTTTTGGACACTGATTTATATCTATTCGATCAAAGTCCATCTCCATAACAGATATAGCAGTCAGCGTCGGATATTCAATGTGTCGAAACTGTGTGTGCCGAGGATATAAATCCGCTGCAATTTAAAAAGACATGAATAGTGTTTTTAATAATGAAGTGAAAATGAACTTCTTTTATTATTTATAGTATTTTATAAGTAATAAAATAAAATAATATCATTGCCTTGATATTTTGTTATAGATTCATCACTACTGTGATTTTGTTGTGAAAGAACCAACCTTAAATTAGAAAATAAGAAAGAAATTGCGATGAATTGAATTTGATGCTGTTAATGAAATACAATACTGTAGTGTACTTACCTACTGGAGTGATGGCTGGCACAGACCACTTGTTCGAGCGTCCACAATCAAAGTACGGCCGGGTGAACTTAACAGGTCCTGGATCCTCATCTGGAGCATTGGGTCCATGGAACACGTACGTCTCATTTGTGTTGTTGGAATAGCGGATTTTGACCTGGAAAATGGCTTTCATTAACACACATTCAATCTTTGCAACCTGCTTGATGGGGGTTCTGGGAGTTCTTCTACTGCCCAAGCGCGCCCCGAGGCCAGGTTCGACTTGTGAGACTTTGGTCCACCAGGCTGTTGCTTGGAGTGACCCGCAGAGCCACATACCCACCACAGCCCGGCTGATCCGGAACTTCTCTTAGAAAACAGTCCAGTTTTCTCTTGAAGATGTCCACGATTGTTCCGGCAATATTTCTTATGCTCGCTGGGAGGACGTTGAACAACCGTGGACCTCTGATGTTTATACAGTGTTCTCTGATTGTGCCTATGGCACCTCTGCTCTTCACTGGTTCTATTCTGTATTTTCTTCCATATCGTTCACTCCAGTATGTTGTTATTTTACTGTGTAGATTTGGGACCTGGGCCCTCCAGTACAGTATTCTCCATGTGTATATTATTTGGTATCTCTCTCATCTCCTTTCTAGAGAGTACATTTGGAGAGTTTTGAGACGATCCCAATAATTTAGGTGTTTTATCTCGTTTATGAGTGCCGTATATGTTCTCTGCATTCCCTCTATTTCAGCAATCTCTCCTGCTCTGAAGGGGGAAGTGAGTACTGAGCAGTACTCAAGATGGGACAACACAAGTGACTTGAAGAGTACAACCATTGTGCTGGGATCCCTGGATTTGAAAGTTCTCGTAATCCATCCGATCATTTTTCTGGCCGACACAATATTTGCTTGGTTATGCTCCCTAAACGTTAGATCGTTGGACATCATTATTCCCAAATCCTTGACATGCTGTTTTTCTACTATGGGAAGATTCGATTGTGTATTGTACCCTGTTTCAGATCCTCATTTTTGCCGTACCTAAGTACCTGAAATTTATCACTGTTAAACATCATGTTATTTTCTGCTGCCCAATCGAAAACTTTGTTGACATCTGCTTGTAGTTTTTCAATGTCTTCAGCAGAGGTAATTTTCATGCTGATTTTTGTGTCATCTGCAAAGGACGACACGAAGCTGTGACGTATATTTTTGTCTATATCAGACATGAGAATAAGGAACAGTAGCGGTGCAAGGACTGTACCTTGAGGTACAGAGCTTTTAACATCGCTTGGACTCGATTTTATCTGATTGACTGTTACTCTTTGTGTTCTGTTCGACAGGAAATAGAGTATCCAGCATCCTACTTTCCAGTTATTCCCATTGACCTCATTTTGTGAGCTATCACCCCATGGTCACATTTGTCGAACGCCTTTGCAAAGTCTGTGTATACAACATCTGCATTTTGCTTTTCTTCTAGGGCTTCTGTGATTTTGACATAGTGGTTGAGTAACTGTGACAGACAGGATCTTCCCGCTCTAAATCCATGTTGTCCTGGATTGTGCAATTCATTGTTTTCCAGAAAACTAGAAATTTGATTCCTAATCACTCTTTCAAACACTTTTATTATGTGTGATGTTAGTGCAACTGGCCTATAATTTTTTGCCAAGGCTTTACTCCCCCCTTGTGCAATGGAGCTATATCTGCATATTTAAGTGCTGCTGGTATCTCCCCTGTATCCAGGCTCTTTCTCCATATTACTTTGAGTGCTCTCGCTACTGGTACTTTACATTTCTTTATGAATATTGAATTCCATGAGTCAGGCCCAGGACCTGAGTGCATAGGCATATTGTCAATTTCTCTTTCAAAGTCTTCCGAGTTTGTGGTAATATCAGTTACTGTATATTATCTGCAGCTTGAATGTCATTCATAAAGAAGCTGTCTGGGTCATCAACTTTCATGTTGTTTATTGGTGTGCTAAACATAGCCTCATACTGGCTTCTTAGAATTTCAGTAATCTCTTTGTTGTCCTCTGTGTACGTACCTTCATTTGTAATTAACAGTCCAATACTGGTCGAGGTTTTTGATTTTGCGCATGTGAAAAAATATTTCAGATTTTTCCTTATCTCTTGTATAGCTTTCTGTTCCAATTCCATTTCCTCAGACTCATATGACTCGGACTCATATTGATGCTTACCGTTGGGAAACAACAATTGATGACACAGTAGTACCTCTTTGTGGTGTGTTCACCATGGGACACGAGTTCACCAACCATAGAGACTGTATCAGTTACATAAAAGCCAGGAGTGACCAGAATACATTTTTCCAGTCACACCCAAACTAAGTCGCCACTCAATCACTTACTGACACTAGTTCATCATGCAACCACACAGTCTCACAGGTCAGTGAGGTCATTGAATCTTTGCAAGGGGCACCAGAAATTGTTCATTACCTTACTTGCCTGGAGTCTAACATCAATCAAGTCAGAGGCATCTTATACCAAGACACAGTACTACATTCTCACGCACTAACAAAGGTTACTGTCAAAACTCCTGGTGTACCTGACCTAGATCACGTAATAGCAGACAGTGACATGTCAAATAAAAGGTACCCACATAGAACCGTTCTAACATCAGATACAGAACAACACTTTTAGATACAGAACAACACTACTGCTGTTTATGTTGCCAATGTCACCAATGCCAACATTCGCCTTGCATCAGACACACACATTGAAGACTTCACCCATTATTTGTTACCAGTGCGAGTGGTGGATGAGGTCTCTGCTGAACAAATAGTACATGCACTCTCTCATATGACAAATTGAAGTCAGCGGTCTCACCTGAACATCTTAGTACCACAGACTTCCCAGATGCCCAAGCTCAGTTGCTGACCATCCTCACCAAACATTGTACTGTTGTTGCATTGACAGGAGAACTTGGACTGACACACCTCATCACTCACAAAATTCCTCTTGAACCAGGTACTTGATCAATTTATGTAGGGAGTAGTAGGGAGCCGGTCGGCCGAGCGGACAGCACGCTGGACTTGTAATCCTGTGGTCCTGGGTTCGATCCCAGGTGCCGACGAGAAACAATGGGCAGAGTTTCTTTCACCCTATGCCCCTGTTACCTAGCAGTAAATAGGTACCTGGGTGTTAGTCAGCTGTCACAAGCTGCTTCCTGGGGGTGGAAGCCTGGTCGAGGACCGGGCCGCGGGGACACTAAAAGGCCCGAAATCATCTCAAGATAACCTCAAGAATCAAGATGTACCCAAATACAGATTGCCTTATTCTCAACAAGCTGTTGCAAACTGACTTACTGATGAGATGTTACACAGAGGTGTTATTGAAGAAAGTACCTCTTCATGGAATGCTCCATTAATCTTAGTGCCCAAGAAGGATGGTTCTTGGCATCCTGTCGTTGATTTCAGAAAACTTAACCAAGTGACGATACCTGATAGATTTCCATTTCCCGTGCTCACTGACTTATTGCAAAACATAGGCCAGAATAATTTTTTATACATTTGATTTATTGCAAGGATTTTGGCAAATACCACTTGACCCAAAAAGGCCAGAACTGACAGCATTTTCAGTCCTTAATGGTCACTACCAGTACACTCGCATGCCATTCAGCATACACAGCAGCCCTATTACCTTCTCTACACTTATGACAAACTTTTGCAGACAAATGATAGAAAATACCCTCAAGGTTTATCTCGATGACTTCATAATCATGTCTAAGGATGTACCATTCCACCTTACACGTTTAGAACACACTTAGTTTTCTCATGTCAATGTTCGTGTTACATTGTTCATTTTGGTATCAAATTGTTCGCAATAGAACTTTCTAAAGGAATATATGTACAAAAACAGGTGTGCTTCTCGCAGCAAACTATAAAATCTGCCAAGAGTTACCCCATGAGCAAGCATGGGGTAACCATCCATACCCACACCCATCCATAAACCCACATTAAATGTGTATACAGTACTATACTCTACTCAGTTTTTCACCTCAATTTTCATGCTACGTCGTTCATTCTGGTATCAAATGGTTCGCAATCTAAAGGCGCACATTTTAAAACTGTAATGATCAGAAGTTATGATAATTTTCGGTCCCATAATGATCGAAAAACAAATGGAATTCTAACAAATATTTTAATTTTGGACGCAACATGCATCCTCGCCGGGCATCCGTAATTATTTATGGATGCAATATCCATCCCCACCGGACGAAAGTGTTAAGTATGAAGCAATCTCAGCAAGATAGCATCAGGGAGCCACTAGGAGCTCCCTCCAGAAAATCTATACATTACCTGGTATGTAGTAAGTTCATCTTGCTGCTTGTTGGTGTGTGGCAGCCACGAGTAGTACCACTCATTGATGCGGTAGTCCTCCAGAGTATAGTTATGTGACCTCTGACCTGTGGGCATGATGGCCCCGAGGTCTTCCACTTGAAAGAAATTCAGTGTTGAAATCCTCTCAAGGTGCACAGGGTCATTGTAATCATCCATTCTGAAAAGTTAAATATCACAACTAAATAACCAGCAAAACACATGTGAAAAGAAAAGATGAGTATGTATGCCCATCCTCAAATGCTGTCTTTTCCTATGCGAGGGCTGGGTTATATATTTTCACCCACATTATTGAAACATTCACAATAATTCACAGTTATTATTAGGCAATATTAAGTTTAAACTGCATTTCAAATATGAACAATGCAACCAAAAATCCACAGACAAAAATAGTAATTTTATTGTGCTTTCATGCAAATTATCAAAACCAAACCTGTGTACAAAAAATTTAATACAGATTTTCCATCAAATGAGAGCACTCCAACAAGGTATCCCTAGGCTCACATCTGTGGCTGTAGATTATGTATTAGACCTGCTTTTATGACCTCTACATCACTCAGGGCTTCTAGCTTCTTAACTGATGAATGCCAATACGAATGGTGCACGTAGTGAAGAATGGTAAATTTGTTTGTAAAACAACATCCATTAACTTTGAAACTTACTTTGACAAATAAATCTACCATCTTTGAATAATGTTGTATCCCATGTTTTCACCTTTATTGTCTTATCACCTGACCCAGTGCGGGTATAAAATCAACCAGTTCTAAAAATTCTTTTCACTTGAGAATGAACCATGCAGGTTCGAAATGTTGTGCAAATTGTATAAATAAGTGTAATACATTCTATAGTAATTCACTTCTTTTCTTCACCTTGAAATTACGAAAATGAGTTTTGGAGAACTCCTCTTTCAGCTAAGCCCTGATGCTAAGAAAAATAGTTAGAGGGATAGAAGCCCTAAATCAGAAGATAGTAAATACAGAATATGCGGTCATATTCAATGAGACATCTTTGAAGAAGTGCACAACTTCCAGCATCTTTTCAAATTGATCATATAATTCTGTAAGAGTAAACACTGCCGCCACACGTACCAGCATGTGTGTTCTGGGATACACACACGTGCCGACCCACCATCTCCAAAATATTTACCTAAACGCTCTTGGAGCAAACAGAGGCATTGTTTTATTATAGAATCCTTTGTAAGAGGATGTGAATGCCATGTTGGGCTGGAAGTATGTTGCACTTGCATTGATCTTTGGATTTGCTGCAACGTCTGCCACAGATGAGAGAAAGTAGTACATAAAACCAGGATCATACTCCGAGGCATTGTCCGAATCATTTACTGAAACGCAAGAAAAAAATGGAATTAGTTGCATAAATGAATTTTTTAATAACACTATTAAGAATTTGGTAGAAGTTTGTCAAATAAACATGTATAAAAACAAAACCACAAATGATACCCGGGACATGTGGAGCACAAAAGCTAATAAACCACAAGAATTAAAGCGTATCAAGATGTTCTGGCCGCACTGAATAAATAGATGATGGTAGACTGGTGAAGAGTGTATTAAAGTCAATTTATGAGTACTCGGTACTTTGTAGTTTCCAGGTGATAACACGGGTTCTCCAGGTTCAGTTCTGTGGCAGTTCAATTTCTATAACTTTCAAGATAATGGGAAGTGAACAGGATAAAAGTCTCTTTCCTCTGGATAAAAGTCTTGTTGAGGTCATGAAGCCTGTATAATATTTAGGCTTGTATTAAGTCCCCCCCCCTCCACACCAAGGTCAAAATGCTGACCTGTCCCAGGATGCAACCCACAACAGTTGCCTAATTCCTTGTTATCTATTTACTGCTAGATGAAAATAGGCATCAGGTGAAAAGGAAATGTGCCCAACCCTTTCTGTCGTGCCCAGGGTTTGAGGCCTGCATCCTTGATTGTAAGTTAAGTATGTAGATAGAACACTGTATTACAGGACCTTTGCTAGCCTAGAATAGATCTGTTTACCTGCTTTATATGTGAATCTGTTTCCCAACAGGAAAGTAACGGTGCTCAATACTTTATGGTTGGACTCGAACAAGTGGGACTTTATTCAACTCTATCCACTGGCCAAAATGCTGCTTCTTGTGCTATCTATGTTGGAGAGCACTGTGAGTCACATTCTTCTACTAGTTCCCATGTAACCAGTTCTATCCTGATTCCTAGCTCTCCCGTCTCAATTTGCGGGGTTTGATTGGTTCAGACCGTTCATGAAACGTACAACATAGCAGCATACTAGATGCACTGAATTTATAAGAACACTTTGTGGAAGGCAAAGTGAAAACTTATGAAAAGAAAGAAATAGGGGGATGTTTGGGCCCTTCCAGGACCCCTCATCTAGTCGTAACTACAAATACACATTCCTTTTTATTTCACACCTGAGGGCAGCGTTATGTACTTGTCAGCCATGTTAGTGACTCGTTCTCTCCTTTCCTTCACCCGTCCCACCCCAAATCCTTATCCCTTCCAAGAGCTATATGGTTGTAATGGCTTGCTGCTTTTCCCTGATAATTCCCTTGCTCCCCCTCTAATTACCTACCATTATTTACTATATGTAATAAAATAAAATGTAATTTTTACCTGCCGGTCTTTTGAACCGTGACTGAAGAATATACGACCAGAAAAATGCCCGCGAGTGGGCCATGTTGTGGAGATGATGAAGAGCCGTGCGGTTAGGAAAGATGGGGTTAATGTTTACCTGCCGGATATCTGGCAAATGCGACACACTGTCATGCGGCAGGTACAGATCCATCTGAAACAAATTACCAATTACACCAAAGCATCTAATGCACTATATTGACTACAGTATTTAATATTAGAGTATATTAAGCAGTACAGTATTTAACCTATAGTTGATCAATCTTACACAAGCAGCTTAAATTCAATTGCAAAGACTTTACATCAACAATCATCCGAGCATTCATAAACCTCATATAAGTTAGGTAGAGTATAAGAAGCATATTATCCCGATTAGATTAAGGACAGGTAAAAGTGCCCCACATGAGAAGTGTGGTTGAAATTTGCCCAAAGTGAAGCCCAACTATGTCATCACAGCCCATCCTCCTGTTTTGATAGTACAGTACTTATAGGAAGGATAAGGACCATAGTACATATACCAACGTGCAACGCAATTACTGTAGAAAGTAGAAGTCGGTACTATTGAATTTGGGCAAACCGGAAAATGATTTTCTATTTATGTTGCAAACACAAACTAAACTAAGCTAACCTAACCTTCCTAGTCCTAATACATACTATTTAAGGCCAAATATAGTATATACGTGTGCTGTACTAGGCCTAGGAATATTACAGTTTGTTTTTTGCTTCATTTTTTCTACCTTTTTTCAAACTTATAAAGTGAATAGCACAAAATTCTGCTATCTAATTGCTTAGTACATCAATCTTTGTACTGTGGTACAGTTACAAAAAAAAACAGCGTTGAATGTAATGAAATGCCATTTTCTGTGTTGGGCCCCGAGGCTCCCTACAGCTAATGGCCCGATATCCATAATATTAGTCTAGAGCAACAGTTAATCAAGAGTTCTTTGCCTACTGGGAACCACGAGCCAGAACCTGGTTCCCTCAGAGAGGCGAAGGGAGCAATGGCCTATGAAAACTCCACTTTGTGAGAATATAGTCATGTCTGCCGAACAGAGCCCAAGAACTCCTCCCAAGAAGAAACTACAAATAAGCAAATGTCCATTCAACCAGCGAGCCCACTCGTTGGCAACCCTCCCCCCTCACGCCGGGATGGGGGGTTGGGTGGCCAAAAAAACAAAACAAAAAAACACCAGCGTTGAATGTAATGAAACGCCATTTTCAGGGAGAGACCCAGAGGCTCTCCGGAGCTATACCGGGCTGATACGCATATATTAGACCGTGACAACAGTCAATTGATAGAGTTCTAGGCCTACCGTGGACCAGCACCAGAATCTGGCTCCCTCAGATGAGGCATAAGGAGCAATGGCCTATAGACACCACCCTGTAATTGGAAACAGTCTATGTCTGCCATCTACCAAGTCAGGCACCCAGAAAGGTAGGAATTCCAAAACAAACTACTGTACACCTGGTTAAAAACTGCAAACCAAAAGCCGAACTAGCAAACAGAACTCCCCAATCAAAAACAAGCAAATAAACATGATGTCACCACAGCCGCCACATTGCTATCTGCCCAACTGCCCCCACCCCCGAGAGGGTGAAGGGTAGGGAAGGGAGGGGGGGGGGGGGCAGACCTCTTGTGCCGGCTAACCAACCTCAGTTCAAAGGCTACCTTGAGATGCTTCCAGGGCTTGAGATTCACTCCAGGGGTGCCTGGGTGCTCCAACACCCAGGCTCGCTCTCAAGGATGCCTTTGTCACACACAACTCAGGCATTTACCACCATGCAAAGCGTGCTGTTGGCCAGTTTGAGTGCACTGTATGCAAGACAACAACCAAGAAGCAACAGAAACAAAAAATGGTGATGACTTGGTGCACAGCGTATCAGGTCCCTCTGTGCTATGTCAAACGTTTTGACGAGTATCACAGTTTTGATGAGTTCTAAATGTTCAAGACTGGTGCAAAAACATGTAAATACAGAATAAGTGGGTGTAAATATTGAAAATAAATCACAAGAAATAGTATATTTTATTGAAAATAAGACATTTTTGTGCAAATACTTGTGACACAAATATCGGGATATAATATACATTGATAACACTTCTATGATAATAAATCGTCAAGTGAGACCATATTGAACCACACCAGTGAAAAAAATGGGTGTAAAATACGCCATAGATACTGTAAATAATACCACGAAAATAAATTTGTGGCAACTCTGGCTCCTTCTCCGTCACATCTGACTCAGCCCGGGCGCACAGCGCTCCAACGAACATGAAGTGTGATGTCATCAACCAACTTCTCGGCTCATTTACATCATTGGCAAGTACAATTAATCTTTTATTTTTTTCCCCGTGCTCAGAGAACACAAATAAAGACATTAAAAAGACAAATAAATTTGTTTGATTTTTTTTTTTTTGCGCCTGTGGGTGTTGAAGCTATTTGGACCCTTCGCAGTTTGAAGGTTAATCCTAACGTAACCAAATATGAAAAAATTACATGTTATATATAGTGTGTGCGAGGTGCGTGACATGAGTGACATGAGACATGCTTGGGAGCATCCTGAAGACTACAGTAGACAACACACTGCTCCTACAGTCCAACGGCCATACAAGTTTTTCCATATTCACATTATTTAGGTTTTTCATGACTGTTGTAATATGTATATATTATGGGCTGTTTTGGGTTCTTTTTCATAATTCCTTGACCATTTATGATTTTTTTTCCTGTTGAACAGCAGAGGTACAGAGGTACAACCTATAATTGTTGACAAAGTTATAAACAATTAATAACTGACCTTTGGCTTGATGAAGCAATTATCCTGAGTGACGAGGCGTATTAAATTATCAATCTTATCAAAGGTGTCCGTCTCCTGGTACTCAAATTGGGCCATTATGACGCCCAGTGTGGCGGCGACGTACCACACGACCAGTGCCTTCACCCCCTTCATCCTGGCCTGAGGTGGTCACTCCAGGGGCATACTTCTCCCCCAGGAGGGTGGTGAGGGTAGTGGGTGGTGGTAGTGGGTCACGGTAACCACACCAGGAGGGTGGTGAGGGTAGTGGGTGGTGGTAGTGGGTCACGGTAACCACACCAGGAGGCTGGTGATGGTAGTGGGTGGTGGAGTGGGTCACGGGGGGAACCACACCTTGTGATGGCGTCTCCTGTGTTGTGGTCCGCGGGCGGCGCTCGTCCCGGACCCTCCTGTTGTCGTTACTCCTGCTCTCTTGCCTCTACACTCTTGTCTACACCCTTGCCTACACTCTTGCCTCTACACCCTTGTCTACACCCTTGCCTACACCCTTGCCTCTACACCCTTGCCTCTACACCCTTGCCTACACTCTTGCCTCTACACCCTTGCCTACACTCTTGCCTCTACACCCTTGCCTCTACACTCTTGCCTACACCCTTGCCTTTACACTCTTGCCTCTACACCCCTTGCCTACACTCTTGCCTCTACACCCTTGCCTACACTCTTGTCTCTACACCCTTGCCTCTACACTCTTGCCTCTACACTCTTGCCTCTACACCCTTGCCTACACTCTTGCCACTACACCCTTGTCTACACTCTTGCCTCTACACCCTTGCCTCTACACTCTTGCCTCTACACTCTTGCCTCTACACCCTTGTCTACACTCTTGCCTCTACACCCTTGCCTCTACACCCTTGCCTCTACACTCTTGCCTCTACACTCTTGCCTCTACACCCTTGTCTACACTCTTGCCTCTACACCCTTGCCTCTACACTCTTGCCTCTACACTCTTGCCGCTATACTCTTACCTCTACACCCTTGCCTACACCCTTGCCTACACTCTTGCCTCTACACCCTTGCCTACACTCTTGCCTACACCCTTGCCTACACTCTTGCCTCTACACCCTTGCCTACACCCTTGCCTCTACACCCTTGCCTACACTCTTGCCTCTACACATGATGATATGATGATACACACCACTGGGTATGCTGATGATATGATGATACACACCACTGGGTATGCTGATGATATAATGATACACACCATTGGGTATGCTGATGATATAATGATACACACCACTGGGTATGCTGATGATATAATGATACACACCACTGGGTATGCTGATGATATAATGATACACACCACTGGGTATGCTGATGATATAATGATACACACCACTGGGTATGCTGATGATATAATGATACACACCACTGGGTATGCTGATGATATGATGATACACCACTGGGTATGCTGATGATATAATGATACACACCACTGGGTATGCTGATGATATGATGATACACACAACTGGGTGTGCTAACACGCAGAACACTCTTAACTCTGTATTAGACTCATGTCAGGACCTTGGTCTAGTTATCTCAGCAGAGAAAACAAAGATACACAATCGGCGCTCACCCAGGCAGGGAGGAGCTGTTCGCAAGATGCAACTGTCTGATGGCTCCCAGCTTGACTATGTTAACAGATTCAAATACCTTGGCCTTGAGGTGCCACTGTATGGTCCTGTTGTATTCAGACTCTGTCGTCAGTATAAAGAATTGTCAAAATGATGTACCTTGCATACATCAGATCTTTAGTGGATTATGCTGCACCTCTGCTTGTGTTGATGCCTGAAAGAAAGCTTGGAGGGCTTGAAAAATTGCAGAACGAAACCTTGAGGATAATCCTTGGGTGCCCTCGTACTACAAAGATACTTAACATGAGAAAGGAACTTAATATTCCGAGCGTCGTTGATCGTGTTAATGAAATTAATTGTCAAATTGGTATAAAAATACTTAGGCTAGCTCATCCTAACCCTTGCACAGAAGCCCTCCAGAATTTCTTTATTGAAGGTCAGCATTGTTCCAAATGGATAACAAAAACTGGAACTCAACTCAGAATGTATCAGATTTATCAATTGTACCAAGAGAAACAACAACGGCACTTTCCTGCACCGTGGGAGGTTACACCCTTTCCAGTTTTAATCCCTCCCTTTCCACCCAAGAAGCAAATTAGAGATCAGCCCAAGCTTCGTCTTGAGGCAAAGCTCAACGCTTTAAGCCATATTGATGCTCTGTCCACAGAGCATTCTCTCTCTCAAATTATATACACTGATGGTTCCCTACACCGCACCACGGGTGCAGCTGGAAGTGCGGTTGGTCTGACAATGGGCGATGGCTTGTACTTTGAGTGGGGAGTCCGTGTAAACAATTGGGCCTCTACCCTTCAGACTGAACTATTTGCCTTGATCCTTGCACTGAAATGTGTACAAGTCTCCAAACTTGATACATTAATTGTAAGTGACTCCTTATCCTTAAATGCTCTCAACTCTTTAAGACATAACTGTAACATGCTCGTGTCCGAAGCTAGACACAAATACAACAAAATTATTAATGATGGTAACAGAGTCCATTTCATGTGGTCTCCATTTCATGTTGGCCTTCGAATGCATGATAGAGCTGATGAGTTAACCAAAGAATCTGCCTTTAAAGGAGCCGTTGAGTGTAACCTTGGATTGTCAATGAGCAATCTGAGAGCAGCAGTACACCGAGAACTTCAACAAGATCTTGTAGATCTGAGGCAAAGTGAAATTGACACCAGTAATTCCATCTATCATCTTACTATCATGCAAGAGGAGCCACACATCTATGGTTCATCCAATAATATCAGCAGACTTCTAGATGTTACTACTGCTCGGCTTAGACTCGGTTACAAGTTTATTTATTTATTTATTTATTTATTTATTTATTTATTTTTTTTTTTTTTTTTTTTTTATATATATACAAGAAGGTACATTGGGTTTGTGAGAATACATTGGATAGTACAGTATTTACATTCTTGCAAAGCCACTAGTACGCGCAGCGTTTCGGGCAAGTCCTTAATCTAGCAGATAATTTTAAGTAGGTAATTTCAATCAGAATTGATAAATGAAAGATACATTACAAGAGAAAAATGAGATGAGAGAGATAAGTAAGTATATTAAAGTACATTGATATATTAAAGCACTGATTGATTACATTGACAGCTTGATTAGTAATTTAAACAAGATTAATAGACACCATACAGCAGATTGACAGCACATATAAGACAGCAATGATCACAATGGTAAAGATGTTCAGAATGGGTACATAAAGATTGAGAGACTGGGTAGCAAAAGATACAGATAAACAAGATTTATAAACACCATATAACAGATTGGCAGCACATATAAGAAAACAGCATTGTTCATAATGGTAAAGATGTTCAAATTGGGAACATAAAGGTTGGGAGATTGGGTAGCAATAGATACAGTGCAATTTTAAGACAAAAAGTGAAAAATTATGAAGATGAAATTAGGAGCTTTTTAGTATTGATTTTGAATGATGTAAAAGTTGGACAGCTTTTCAATTCAGTAGGGAGTGAGTTCCATAAACTGGGTCCCTTTATTTGCATAGAGTGTTTACACAGATTAAGTTTAACTCTGGGGATATCAAAGAGATATTTATTTCTGGTGTAGTGATAATGGGTCCTATTACATCTGTCCAGGAAGAGTTTCAGACAAGGATTTGCATTTAAGAACAGGGTTTTGTAAATGTAGTTGGGCACAAGAGAATTTGTGGAGAGAGATTATGTTTAGCATGTTTAGGGAGTTAAACAAGGGGGCTGTGTGTTGTCTGAAAGCAGAATTTGATATTATTCTCATAGCAGATTTTTGCTGGGTGATGATGGACTTGAGGTGGTTTGTAGTGGTTGAACCCCATGCACAGATACCATAGTTGAGATAGGGATAGATTAGTGCATAATATAGAGAGATGAGAGCAGAGTTAGGAACATAATATCTGATTTTGGAGAGTATACCAACTGTTTTAGAGACTTTCTTAGTTATGTGTTGTATGTGGGTACTGAAGTTGAGTCTCTTGTCTAGGAATATGCCAAGAAACTTTCCATCATTTTTATTGCTAATGTTTACATTGTCAATCTGAAGCTGAATTGCATTTGTAGATTTGCTTCCAAATAGGATGTAGTAGGTCTTTTCTATGTTAAGTGTTAGTTTGTTGGTTGACATCCATAAGTAGACTTTTTTTAGTTCAATATTAACAACATCATTTAGTGTATGTGGGTTGGGGTTGGAGTAAATGAGGGTAGTATCATCAGCAAACAAAATAGGTTTCAGAATGTTAGAGACATTAGGCAGATCATTAATGTATATAAGAAATAGTAGGGGTCCCAAGATGCTGCCCTGTGGCACTCCAACGGTTATTGGTAGAATGGGAGAGATAATATTATTGATGGCTACACATTGGTGTCTATCACTAAGATAGGATTGGATATAGTCCAGTGCATGGCCTCGGATTCCATAATGATGGAGTTTACATAAGAGGTAATCGTGATTAACCGTATCAAAGGCCTTTCTCAGGTCAATGAAGAGTCCAATTGGAAACTCATTTTTGTCAAGGGCTGAGTAAATTATATCAAGGAGACTAATAATTGCATCGTTGGTACTCTTTTGAGAGCGGAAGCCAAACTGACAGGGGCTAAGAATGTCGAATTTTACGAGATAGGAGTAGAGCTGTTTGTGGATAATTTTTTCAAATATTTTTGATAGTATGGGTAGGTTCGATATTGGTCTGTAGTTGTTTATGTCTGACGGATTACCTCCTTTATGAACTGGCGTTACTCTTGCGTTTTTAAAGATATCAGGGAAGGTATGACACTCAAGGGATTTGTTGAACAGCAGAGCTATAGGTGGTGCAAGGGCATGGGAGGCGCTCTTGTATACAATGGATGGGATTTCACTGATGTTCCCAGCTTTGGTTTTTAGTGAGTGTATGATGGACACAACATCTGACGGGCTGACTGGTGAGAGGAGAAGAGAGTTTGGATAGCTGCCTGAGAGATATGTGTTGATATGTGTCTGAGTCTGTGGGATTTTACTTGCAAGGTTAGCACCAATCGATGAAAAGAAGCTATTAAATTAATTCGCCATTTCTAAGTCAGATGACAGTGTAAGGCCATCCTTAGAGAGTGTTATCTGGTTGTGGGAGTGTTGTTTAGTTCCCAGGATGTTAGAGATGGTATTCCATGTGCTTTTCATGTTGCCTTTTGCTTCTTTGAATCTAGTCTCATAATACGAAAGTTTTGCTTTTCTTATGATACTGGTAAGCACTGATGAGTACCTTTTAACTACTTCCATTAAAACTAGGCCACCCCTAAATTTCTTTTCGTATTCATGTTTTTTGTTGATTGATTTAATTATGCCATTTGTGAGC